ATATATATATATATATCTAACAACATCTAAAAAGTAAAGAGAATAATCACTAAATATTCTTTATCGGAAGCCCCAGTCAAAAATACTTCAATATGTGCTCTTTCCAATATTGCAGCTTTTTTTGCTTTGTATCCTCTGGATTCACTCTTCAAATAAGCAGTAAGCTTGTTATATTTTCCATTATCTATATTTTTGTAGGCCTTCAACATCGAATACTTCGACCACATAGATGAAATTGTATATTTTTTCTTCATTTATTGTCATTACTCTCCGTTTTTCCTCCATTCGTTAAATTCCGCGAACAGTTTTTAGTAATGTTCCCTGGATTTCGCTGGCAATAAATAGAAAATTGCTTCTTGAGCTTCCTCAAAAGCAGCCACAGGAACACAATTACTTTCTTGCATTTTTACGAACTCGAACTACGTTCTCGCGTTTAAACATTCTTGCCTCGATAAAATGCTACTTATACAATAAATAACTATTTATCTAGGGGCAATTCAAGAATGACAAAATCTCCAATGCAAAAAAAAAGAATTCTATTTTTTAATATAGTCGTTCCAACCAAATATGCTGAAATTACACGAAGATTTCTCGAATATTTCAATCATAATAGCTGTCCACGACCGAAGAACATTTCGATAAGACGGAAAAAGTTTAATTAGCTGTGCAAATATCAAAGCTGCCGAATTTTTAACGCCCAACACCTCCTAATGCTTGCGCAGCTGTTTGTTATTTTTATCCAATTTATTTTTTGCCGTAATTGTATTGTTGGTACTCAGTTTTCGACAAAAGTTATATAATTAGTACCGACACTCCTACACTTGAACTCTTTCTAGCATAAGCGATAGAAATTACTTCTTTAATTAAGTTTACCTCTTATGGGTACACTTTGTTGCCTTAATTACAAATCTAACTGAAAAAAAAACTACAAAAATGAAACGGAAACCCAGATATGTTTTTTTTCGAGTTTATTGTTATTTTTGTTTATTGTTATGTTTAAATTAATTGTTAATGTGCAACTTTTTTGTTGTCTGCTCGACATATGTTCACCTTGTTACGTTTATTTGATATGCGAATATGTTAATTAATAACTTTTATTTTTTCAAATTGTAATTATATTCAAATTATGACATTGCTATAGGTCAAAGTCTTAGATGTGAATATCTTATTGTCAGGTATTGTACTTTTACTTTATTTTAATTAGCTGATTCAAATTAATTCTATTTTTTTTCCTAAATTTTCCTGGATAATGTCAAAAGTATCGAAATGAATATAAATTATTTTACCTGTGCAATTTCATATTTCATGAAGTATGTAACTCCGTACAGTATATATTCTCGTTTTATAGTGTTGACAGTATTTTAATGTTTGAGGTAAACGTTTGGTAATTGTTTGACGCAGGTTTAAAATAGTAAAATTGTCAAAGGAAGTGTCTAAAGTAACGCTAACAAAGTGTAAACTCCCATTAACATTGTTGTTCAGCAATTCCGACCGTTCTAAATTGATTTTGATGTATAAACATAGCCTGCAGTTGTCTAAAAAAGGAAATATTAAATCTAGTCGCCATGATTTAAGCACACTACGTAGAGAACAAGTAGTTCTGTCTCCCTTTTTTATGCATGTTGTTGAATATATGATGGAAGATAATCACTACAAATTGAATCCAATAAAATCATAACAGGCCGTACTCTCACGACAATTGAACGTCAATTTAACCAATTTAGCCATCTTTTTATTATTCATAAAATTTCATAAACCCGCTCACTTACTTTATTTGTTCTTCACAATTGAAGAGGTTTTTAGGGACGCTTAAGCGCATTAATTCCGATCAACGTAATTAGATCAAATTTATAGCTCGCCTTAATCTAGATCAGCGTCATGACTAGTGAATAAATACAGTTTTAGCTTAATACGCGGAATATCTAAAAGAAGACCATGAATATTGTTTCCCGTATTGACAAAATAAAAAATGTGGTCCCTAAACTTGACAGATATTGAGAAAAAGTTGCCTACTTGGCTTCAAAGTTTAACAAACGACATTACATTTCGGTAAAATTAAAACAATAAGATTAAGATCACATTAAAACATCAACGAACGCTCAGTACACATACCTAGTTTACATGATGATAAATTCATGATCAGGTTCAAAACGTTGAAAACTATAAAGGTCATTGCTTTTTTAAAACCATTTCTATGGAACACCCATTCGTGCGAGTGAATGAAATTTGAGGATTTCAATTTGTATAGACCTACTTTAATACACACTTGTACAAATACTTATTATATCTGGAGCGTTTTCAGCCATTTCCTGGGCGTCATTAAGGCCGACTATCGCCTAAAACGCGGTTGTGTTTGGTTTTGACCCTTTAGATACTTAAAAAACATCTGGACCCGGACTCCATTAATATAACCCGCTGGTTCCTATGCCTTACGTCATCTATTAATAAAAACAAATCTGTATTTTCATTTTTACTAATTACGAAAGTAGAATAGTATTAATTTACATTGAAAACGCCAGATGAATGGACACCAATTTTTAAACAGATGGGATACCGATTTTTTTTTAAGCCGGATTCGTAACGCGAATGTTTCTTAAATTAACGCGCTCGGAAAAATGCAATTAAGCTATTACGAAACACATGAGTTTAATAAAAAATTGTAATGTCGATCCGCTTCCTCGAATCGATCCTCATGTGTTATTCTCATATCTAATAAAATTTCGGTTTGAGTTTTAAAAGGCATAATAAAACGCGTGAACAGATGTGGCGTATCATTTGAAAAAATTGAAATCATGTAATATTTGTTTCGTATCAACAAACCCATTCCCGTTATAACATTAACACCTAACTACGGAAACAGAAATTTGAGATTCCAAAAATCCCAGTTATGTAAACAGTCCTATGTTAATGAAATTATATTTGAGCATACTGCTATGTCAAAAAAGTATCCGGAATTTGTCAATAAAACACAATATATTCAATTATTAATCATCCTTCTTTTTGATTTATCTTCAACTAGTTTTTATCTTTATTTAGTCCTTATTGATTCTTTATTAGTTGTTGTGACTATATTTACTCTTGTTCCTTGAAATGAAAAGAATTAATGTATGTTTTCTAAATATTTTTTTTTCTATTCCAGCAATGATGGCCCAATCGATGGCTCCTACTCCTAGAGATGCGATGCCATCCACCAACGTGCTACTCAACAAAACAACGAACCAGCTTGACTATTCAAAATACGTGAAAAAATTTTCGTCCTCCCTAGAATGTGGGAGCTCCTACTGCAAAGATTTAAACTACAGGTAAGTACGATGACTGATTCTTCTTCGGTTTACTTGATGGTATTTGACCATCGATATGGTTGGTTACTGTTAAAATAGATTTTAAATTTGTCTAGTGGAATTTAACAATGTCTATGTAAGAATAGAAGAAGTCCCTAGATTTGATGAAAAGGCCTTATTAACACACCGTCATGGCCTTCTTTAAATGCATTGTGTCTAAATATTAAAAAATACCTACTACGATTTTTTTATTAATTTTTCGTTAAATTTTCAGTTGACAAAGTGAGCCTTTTTTATCACCTAGCTACAAAATACTTTTATGTTCTAGAACGCCAACGTCTTTTTCGTTCTAGAACATAAAACAAATGTCAAAATAATTTGTAATTTTTTTATTAATTAAACAGTATACATTTTAAATTACATAACATTTCAATACAAAACGGTAACTATTATAAACAGTACGATTATAATATTTATTTTGCACTACATGTAAATTGAAAGTGCCGATATTTGCAGTGAGTTAAATTTATGCCAGATCCAGTGCTGTCAGTTATCGTAGCTTTTAGTTCTGGGTGCTCGATGAGGCTGCTGCTGTAATTGATTAAGTTTACTGCGCACGTTGTATTATTGGCATGTTCCGTTACACTAAAGTAGAAAGAAACAACAAAACTTCCAACAGCATTATTAATTAATTAGCAAAATCTGGAATGACGTTATCCATTATTAAATTAACCCGAGACTCTAAACTAAGTAGACTGCTCAAAGTGGAACCCAAGGAAAAGTGCCCTTTTTTCGGAGATCTCTCCTGAATTCGACATCTCGCTTCGACACGCCCATTTCTTGGGTCTAGACGTTTCTGTTCTTATCTTACTGGCGGGAACCCTAATATCGGGACGCTTTGGCATAACTATGCCATGTTAATAGTTATCTAATGGACTGAATTTACATTTATATAAATAATTATGTGACTAACTGGACTTACAAGTAACACTAGCCTTCCTCTAGTGACTCCGTGTAGCAATACGGGACGGATTAGTCAATCTCATTTAATCTATTCTTATAGCTTAGAAAATCCGCCTAAAAACCAGCTATTTGATCTAATATTATTTTTCTAACAACTTATTCTTTGAATTCCTTACGTTCTTTGGAATGCATTTCGCGCGTTATTTGAAATATCGAATTTTCTCTTTATACCAAATGCTCAACAAATGGCCCCGACAGTCTAAGTGAACTTGTTCAAAAATACTGTTAAATTTCATGAAGTTTTCTCTGAAGGACGGTCGTCTGACGACGCTAAACCTGCTTGAAAACCCTTAACTTTTCGATAAATTAGTGTTGACTGTAATATTTTACTTTCTGGGCCATCCGTTCTGAAAACTAATAAATAAATTACCACGCGTCTCGGCTTTTGTTACAGTTAAAATAGTTTTTATTGAAACAATATGAATTACATATCTACAATATATATCAAGATATACAGAGTTGTTAAATGTGATTTAGAAACTCTACGTATTTTTCGTTTTTAAAAAAGCAAATTAATTCCCTAAAAGAAAAATTATTATTCATCCATAGTTTTAAAGTTGGCTATCTTTCTCGCCAATTTCTGATTTCCCTTTTTCATTCACCGTCACTGATACAAGTACTTTTCTCCTGTATTTCATATTTATTTACCTAAAAATGATTATTTTTATGCCTAAATAAGTTTAGAAGCTAAATGTACTTACCCGTTTAATTTTTAATTTCTCATTTTTTCACTGTTTATTATATAACAATGATAATAAGTAATACAATTAGGACAAAAAATAGTGGTAAGTGTCATGCTAAAAATATAAGGCATTTCGAGGTACTTCCCGGCATTTAGAGGCATTTTTTGGCATTTCTGGCATTTCGGGGATATTTCGGTGGTATTTAGGGCATTTCGAGGGTATTTCGGAAATTTTTTGTCGTATCGGGGCAATTTGTGGAATTTCGGAGGCATTTTACTTTGGTGCATTTTTCTCGGGGAAGGCATTTTGGTGTAGAAAATCTGGACAGCGAAACACCCCTCGGCTTCTGCGTTCTCGAATGAATATTTTCCATTCTTGACCGCAAAAGTACCATTTCGCATTGGTGACTTGACACTTGAACTTTTGACATCATTGATTTAAATCACACAAAAAACAAAAAATTATTACTCCGTAGAACCTTATTAAATCCAAAGTAAATTTTAACTTTGAAAGTATGTTTCAAGTTATAACACGATTATTCCCCCACAGGGAGCACTTCCACTGCCTGGACTGCAACTCGAGGGTGTTCATCAAGAAGGAAGAGATGATCCGCCACTTCAAGTGGCACAAAAAGCGGGACGAGTCCCTTCAGCACGGCTTCATGCGTTACAGCCCCCTGGACGACTGCAGCGACAGGTTCGCCAACTGCACCCACAACAAGAAGCAGACGCACTACCACTGCATCAAGGAAGGATGCGACAAGGTCTACATATCCACTTCTGACGTGCAGATGCACGCTAACTACCACAGAAAGGACTCCGCCATAATTCAGGAGGGCTTCCAAAGGTACAGGGCGACGGAGGAGTGCGGGGCCAGCTACTGCGCCTTCTTCGGGCAGAGGACCACCCACTTCCACTGCAGGAGGACAGGGTGCAGGTTCACCTTCAAAAACAAAAGTGATATGGGTGAGTGATAGCATATAAACTGTACAAATCTTTGTAGACAGAGTTTAGGCAACGCCTGTAATTTGTTACTCTACAGACATCTTTCATATAAAAAAAAATAAGAAAGAAGAACAAATTTGATTGATTTAAAACACTTGTAAAGTATTTAAAACCATGAACGTGGATGATGGGGATTTTATGACAGAGTCGCCATCTAGTATTTTCATCCAAAAGTTTGACTGGTTATCTGACTGGGCTATGTATAAATAAACAAGGATAATACCCACACAAGTGAAAATTATAAAAAGGGAAATTGTAAAGAATTGCGTCTTATTTAAATTCGATTGAAATCAACATTTCTAAGGATAAATAAGTAGTTAGAACATTCATTTTTACAATAATCCACATTTTTTACTGTAGATATTAAAAAAAGTACTAAATCTGACAAGAAGACAACGTTGTAACAAAAAAAAAGCTATTCTAAACCTAACTTTTCGGTGCAAGAAACTTCTTACCTATCTAACACGCTAAGTGAAGGACGAGAAGAAGAAAACCTTGTAACAACTTGGTTCCAGAATCCAGATAAACAAGTGGATCGTCAGAACAATCCTGAAATGATTCCTTCCACTGGACAATATGAAAATCCACTTAAAAAATGACACGAACACTTATCACACCCACACTACCATTGTACAATGTTTAAATAAGTATCTTGGGTTTGTAATATATTCAATTTAGTAATTGATTTCCTTTCTGTCCGTTTTCGTAGAAAAGCACAAGTCCTACCACATCAAAGACGAGCAGCTGTCTCGAGACGGATTCAAGAAGTTCATGAAGAACGAGATCTGCCCGTTCGAGAACTGCAGGTTCTCCAAAGTGTGCAACCACATCCACTGCATCCGACCACAGTGCAGTTACGTTCTACACAGTTCAGGCCAGTTGTTCTCGCACAAACGCAAACACGAGCGAAAGGACTCCGAACTGGCCTACCGAAAGTACAAACTAGCCCAAAGCATGATAAAAACCCTCGCTGACGGTTCGGTAGCCCCGCCGATGCCCTTCGCTCGTGACTACGAGGCCCAAATCGACAGTCTGAACCTCGCTATGTACAACCAATCGGCAAGCGGCATGTCGAACACGGAGAGTTTGAGCGAGAGGAACTCCCCTGTGAGTTACGAAGAGTCGGAATCGACTTCCGCTATGGACTTGAGCGCGAACGAGTCCAATTTCGCTCAGGAAGACAATATAAATTGGAATAGCGAGGAGTGTTGGAGGAAATACTGTCAATTTGTGCCTGAAAATCAGTGTCCCTCGGAAAAATGCGATTACACTTACACTGATCACTACCACTGCTTCGTTGACAGCTGTGAGATGGCGTTCAGCAGCAAAGAGGGCGCTAGGGAGCACGCCAGGAACCACGAACAACAGGAGATGATCACCGACAACTATTTTACAACTGTTATTGCTCAGAATGGAGGGTGCGATGAGTCCTGCATTTACCAGGACAAGGAGAAGCATTTCCACTGCAACTGGGACAATTGCAGGGAAGTTATACTGCCCACGGACAAGCCTTTTCGGCGATTGGAGCATTACAAGATGCACGAGTATTCAAGGAAACTAAGTTTGACTAAGGATCCCCTCACTATGACCCATCTATCGAGTTCCATCGATGGTATGTTCTGCAGAAAACGTGGACGACCTCCTAAGAATCGCGTTATAGAAGTATGGAATGATTATGTAAGTAAAACTTAAAAAAATTGCACTTTTATTACTTCCTCCATAAACACTGTTAATAATATCTCAATATAATGAACACAACCAGACCGTGCTGCCAATTCGCAGATTTTTCCTTCAGTTTAAACAAGTTCTTCAGTCAAAATTGTTAATTATCATTTTAAATGTTACATTTAGAACCCCATGGGCACGCAGACTTTAATGGACAGTCCCCAGGCGATCTTCACAAGCTTCAAATTACCAAAACCATCTGCAACACCATCAAGCAGCAAAGAAGTCGAGCAACAAGACTCGAACGATGAGAGATCGAGCACCCATAGCCCCACAGTGAGTAGTTCGATACCCGTTTCTATCAAGAAATATATCTGAATACCTTTTTCTAGTTGCAGGACTACAGCTTGCAGGGCTTCGACATTTTTGGGGAGAATACGAAATGTCCGGACAACTTGTGTCCGTATCTGGGCACCACGCATTACCATTGCAATCAACACCGATGTCTCTATGTTACCGACAAAGAAGACGTCCTGATAGTCCACTCCAAAGATTTCCACGACAACGTCGAGATCTTGGACGGGTTTGAATTTTACGACAGAAACGTCGATTGCAGGCTGCCCAATTGCGCGAGTAACAAAGTCAACAGACATTTTCACTGTACGAGACAGAATTGTAATTACTCGTTCGTTCAGTATTCGACTATGGCCCTTCATAACCAGAAACACGCTGAAGAAAGCGGGCAGATGCCGGAGATTCGAGTCAAAAGCGAGGCCCAACTGACTGACAAGCAGGATCTCGGGGATAGTCAATACAAAGCGATTAACTTGAGCCAAAGCATTGACAATAAAGTTTCTGGTAAGTGGCAGGTCTTAGGTAATTAAGGTATTTTTTTTAAAATTTAGAATATAGTGTTGTGTATTTTAAATAATAGACTACGTAGACACTTAATAAATTGTAGTTTATAACGTAAAAGTTGGTCTTTGTATATATAGTGTAATTTTCTATCTCTTCTAGTGGTGAAGGCATCAGGAACTTTCTATCCTTTATCTACATTGCCAACCGAACAAATACAAAAATCACCAGAATATAAACCTATCACTTCAGGTATGAATGTTTACTAACATTCGAAAGATAAAACGCAAACTAACACTAAAAGTACGTCATTCGCCGCACTCACTTCTCTTTTTAACCAAACGAATTCCTGATTTTTGTAGATAGTTTGTAGCTGCATTAGTCTCATTTGTAATATTAAAATGTTTTTTCCATGATTTATCGTTAAAGCATTAGTTTGCTAAGAAAAAAATGCCTGGAAAGGACATTGTTTCATAATCGCGCTTGGTATTTGCTTGTACAAGGTCTGTTCAGAAAATAACCGAACTCTATTATCCATTTTAATAGTTGAGTACGCCGGCATTGTAATATTTATGAATTACAAGTATATGAATTGTAGGCAACCTACAGTGCATGCGAAGGGAGGTAGTGTGGGCCAACGGTGACGAAGAGAAGGGCGACAGTTGTTCCGCATTTGGATACATATATAAACTGTGAATGTTTTTAGCTGGAAGCCATCAACAGACTGTTTGTTTTTGTGTATTTCATTTATCATTATTGATTACTTGATTATTCTTGTCTCAATGTCGTAGCCGTAAACTCGGCTTTGGTCTCACGTTATGATCCTTTGAATCATCGTCATTGAATTGTTCAAGGAGTTGTCGACAAACGTGCACACGATTTTGATCGTGAAAACCATTCGTAACATTGCGTACTATCCAGAGTATCATCTCCGTATAAACTTGTTTCCAAAAGTTGAAACGTTCCCGTGAAAGTTTTTCCGTTTCACGCAAAATTTTACGTTGCTTCGTTTCAGAAAATCGCACATTTCAAGAACTGACTCACTTAAACACGTTGCACCCAAAAACAATATCAGGAAAACTAAATGAGATTTCAACAATCCAAGAAGAGGTTATGCGCAACGCAATGCTGCCAACCGCATATCACTAAATATCTCCATTGGCGCGTAATTCAAAACGTTAGGTTATTTTTTTAACAGACCTTCTATGTGTTACTTTTAATCGCTCATCTCCTCAAATCCATACTTTTTTCCAGACTCGGGTCCTCAAAACGAACTAACTGCTCAAAACATAGGAAGCAACACGCTCTACGGACCCGAATTGAATTGCTCAAGACCCTTCTGCAAACTGAAACGCAAATACCACTACCACTGCAACGCCTGCAACCAGGCGTTCGGCGAACTTGACCGATTGATAACGCACGTGGCAAAGCACAGCAGCGGAGTACTCAGCAGCCAGTTACAAGAAGACAACAACAACCAATCGCCCCCTTCAGAGTCTCCCCCGGAGGTGTCCGCAGCCGTATCTACCTCGTCCTCGGAGGGGAAGATAAGCGTGGCTCCATTGCAGTCGTTGCAGAACCCCGTAATGCCCCAGAAAGAACACGAGACTTACCTGACGCCCACTTTCGACGCTTACAGTCACTTCAACAACTTCCCCGCGAACTTACAATTCGCGCTGATATCCCAGCAGCAACAAATGCAAAACGCGTTTCTACCCCAGAGCTTGTACCAGAACCCCCAATTGATGTTCCAACACGCTCAGCTGATGCAGAGTCCGCTGTTGGCCACGCAGAATCCCTATCAGGGAGAGAACTTGACGAGCCCGTTAGCCGCCATGGCGGCCAATTTGAACAAACGTTCTTTGAGCCCGCACGAGATGTCCCCGGAGGCGAAAAAGGCCAGGATACAGAACTCCATGAGGATTCTCAAAGACGAGCCGGTGCCCGAGGGGTACCTCAGGTTTAGATTCAACGAAGACTGTCAGTACCAACATTGCGGGTATAGAGAGCACCAGACTCACTTCCACTGTCAGAGGCAAGACTGCGGGTACAGTTTTTGCGACAAGACGCGTTTCGTCCAACACACCGCCAGGCATGAACGACTGGACACGCTCATGGGGGGGGACTTCCAGCAGTACAGGGCCAACGTCGCTTGCGGAAGGGCCGATTGCGCGTATACCGCAAATTTGGGTAAGTTTACGTAAATAAAAAAAAATAATTGAAATATAGAAAAAACCTGTATCGTCTATCTCAGTCAAGTTTCTTGCACACTACGTCGCGTCGTGTTTTTTATTAATTAAATATAACTAGCATTGAGTATAGAAAATTAGACAGAGCTGATGATTCATCATAATGCTTGTAATTATTGCTCACAGTTTTATTGTAGTTTATGGTTCGAGCGCTAGGTGGCACCTCATTCAATATCATCAAATCTCTTTAGACGTATCTTTTGTGTACAACAAACAGACCTAATTATAATGCAATAATAAGAAAATAAATGTAATTAATAACAAGAGTAAACGCATAATATGTCAGATCTGCGGGTCCGTTCTGTAATTATCTTCAGTAGAATTTCAGTAAAACGCACTAAATATTTTTGTTAAGAGGAGTTGGCAACCTGCTAGGGAAATCAGTGAACAAATAGTGAAAAATGAACACACCTTATTTTGCATCAACTGACAACTGTTGATGTGCGGTCTATCAGTAAGGTTGTTAGTTAACAAATTTCAAACTTTCGTAGCAATCATTTAGTACTAGCTTCCCAATTTCTCTATAGCAAAACTCCTCAAAACAATTTTTATGCATTTTACTGAAATTCTACTGAGCTAATTACAGATCAGAACAGACCCTCGAGTCGCGTCGATTGAAATGCCCTCAGAGTGCTAGCTGTTCACAACATCTATTTATTAGAAATCTATGGTTCTGCACATTGATCATTGATCTACTATATTCAGTGTTGCCAACATGGTATATTTAATACTAAATCTGGTATTTTGAACTTCCCATTTAGTATTGAAAATTTGAATTTAGTATAAAGTATATTATTTAGTATTTTTAATTTTAAATTAGTATATGTTCTAGTATTTTCTTGTTATCTTATTATGTAAAATCACAAAAATTCTTTAAATAACCAGCTAGTTGAACAGGTTAAAATACCTCATGTGAAAATTGATATTCTACAAAAGGACAGTTTGGAAAAATTTAAAACTAATAGTAACAAATACTGTTATTTGGGATATGCTTTTGAGCATAATATTAAATATCTGGATAAAGGCAATATTAAAAAAGAAGAAGAGTTAGCATTGCGAGAAAGAGCAGTTGATTTTATTGTGAAACTGGTGGAACAGTTACTATTAAGAACTCCTGAAAACCTAAAACTTAGAAAATATATATTTTTAATTTAATTTGTGTGGAAATAAATGCTTTGAGTTACAATAAACCTAATTTGACTTCACTTTTTGAATATTATAAAAAAAACAGCAACTGAGATTTGTGAAATGAAAAATCAGTGGAATAAAATACATCTGTTAACGTGGACAAATATAAAAAACAAAAAAAACTTTTGGTGTGAAGTTAAAAAATACAGAGATGCTGGAAATAGAGCTTCATTTGAACAATTAGTTAATTTTCATTGCTAGTAACCACATTCAAATGCAGAAGTGGAAAGATTATTTAGTACGATGAATGTGATAAAGACTAAAATTTAAAAGACATAATATCTGTTGTGCAACTTACAAATTGCCTGATAAATGGTCAAAGTTAAAACGTTGGAAGCGTATAAGTGGGATGTGGAAGATTTGGATTTTAATATTTATGTTTAGTTTTCGTTTTTCTTTGAAAATGTATCTTTTATGTATTGTATTTTACAGTATATAGTTTATTTTTTATAAAATATGAACAAACTAGCAATTTAAAGAAAATTTATTTACAATTTCCATTCATTAATATGCAACACGCAACGCAACTTGAAACCTATTTGCTCTTTCATAATTTAAATTTGATAATTTTTTCTTAGTATTTTGTAGTATCTCCATAACAGTTCAAATTAACTCTGGTTGCAATATTTTTCCAATTGTAAATTAAGTAATAGGTTTTAGTATATTTTGGTATTTTTTTTTGTACCAGTTGGTATTTATTGCTAATCCAAAGTTGGCAACACTGACTATATTAGATCTATGTAGTGATGGGCATAATCGACCAATTTTGATAATCGAGTTATCGGTAATCGAGTACTTCTAATAATCGAGTGATCACTCGAGATACGAGATATTGGTCGTTTTCATCCCAGCGGCGCACAAATATGTTTGTATTAGTCATATATTACTTATAAGTGTAGCTAAAAAAAAAAAAAGCTCACGCACTTCAAAACCTAACCACTTTTTCGTTTTATTCTAAAAAAAGGTTACGCAATCAGTGACTATTTGCAGTATGCACCAACATTTTGGGGTGCAACCGTAGGGTAATAATCACTCGAGTGGTGGGAGTAAACATCTCGAGATATCTCGAGTGATCTCAATAATCGAGTACCACTCGATTTTTCACTCGAAATCTCCCATCACTAGATCTATGGTTTTGCGACATAACCTATAACTTAACCTAGAATTATCTTTTCCAAAGTATCATCCAAATTGTGTATTGAATATATAGTTGAGTGTAGCTACTCTTCATATAAGCGTAACGTTGAAATAACACCACAATAAAAGTTCTTGAGCCAATTTGTTTTTATTTTTAGTAAAAGGAAAATACTCTTGTCATTTAGTGGTTTTATGAAGCGAATGTTACATTCATTCAATATTTGATTATCATTTTCAGGATCGACTCAGAACAAGGCGTCTCACTTCCATTGCCTTAAATGTGACTTCGTGTGCACCGATACCAACAAAGTAGTGGCCCACCGAAGACAGCACCAGAAGCTGGACTCGATCCAAGCCGCCGGTTTCGAGAAGTTTACTCCCAGCCAAATCTGTAGGGTACCCAACTGTCAGCACAGCGGTAAACAAACCCATTACCATTGCCTTCAGTGCCAGTACGCCGTTTTGGGACTGGCTCAGATGTCCGCTCACAAGTACAGGCACATGGAAGGATAACAACGATTCAGGTCTTATTTCAGTTAGTAATGTTATCCGTTCAACTGATTTATTAAAAATACAGGTCTGACATATCAGAGATCGACGTACAACATACAACCGATTGTATTTTACTCTATTTGTTATACATACTGTAAATATTTGTACAAAGCAACAATTTAGTATAATAAGGTGTATATTTTTGTAAATATTGCAAAATTGATAATTAAATACCTCACGATATTTAAAAATATTGAGGAAAAATAGATTTCAAAAATTTAAAAGTCCAGAGGTGATCTTCGAAGATTAATTTATTCAAATGACTGAGTTTTAACTGAAAGTTGTAAAAGATGCAAATGAAGGTTTTTTTGAACTTTAAAAGTAGGCGTTTTTGTTTCAAGGAAATTAAATCGTCGGAAAATGCGGGAACCCCTTTTAATTTGCTCCGAAGCGATTTAAGAAGTATTGGACGTTGCACTTTGCTCGCTGTGAAAATGGGAATTATCGAACAAAAATATCAATTCTTTGTGATTTTTAATGTAACTAAGTCTCATCGTCCAGTGTAAACTTTTAGTTTCTTAAAAATATACACAGTGGTCTATACCAAGACGACCCAATTCAGACGATATTTTTTATATATGTAGTAGGCCATGGATTACTAACTAGACCAGCGCAGATGTTGTTTTGTTTATGTAGTAGACCATGGATTGCTAACTAGACCAGTGCAGTTGGTTCAACATAGATGTCTAGATTCATTTAAATCCTAATTTTAGAGGGATCTCCTGGTTCTTAATGGGTTGTGCTGTATACAACGGGGGTTCTTGCATTTTTCCATCAGTCATTTTGGCTGAGACACTGAAAGCCTGCTGTGCATATTAATATATTAATGAAGAAACAAATGAATGTAAGGTGGGGCTTCGTCGAAGATGGCAGACTTTCCATTTCTAAAGGTTATTTCAGACTACTCAGATTGAATTAAAGGAGTGTGAAACATCCTTTACATGTGACAGGCTGTACTGAGAGTGGAAAATGTAGATTTTTTTTAAATTCTAAATAGGGAACAATATGTAAATTAAAAAAGACATAGTATTTTAGTTTTTAGAGAGGTAGAGTAATAGAAATAGAGGCCTTTTCTCATAGATTTAGTGCCTTAGAAAAGACATATAAAGTTTTGTGCCTTTTTGGGTACTTTTTTGGTAGAAACAGTTTTTGAAAGAATGTCATTCCATATACCAATTGTGCCATATTACATATACAATGTAGCAATTTTTTCAAAACGTTCTAGAGGTAGATTTATAGACGGTTATATATAAAGTGTCATATCTTAAAGCTCATTTTTCTCCTTTATTTATCCCATTTAGCAATCACTTTTATTTATTTTGCACCCGTGTATATTTCATTTGTGAATTTTTTTGCCATATTTTGAAATAGTTTTTAGAATTTATCCACTGTTTATTACACTCTTGTTTTATTGTTCATAGCTAGTCTTGTTTCTTTTATTCTTCATTTTTTTGCTTTATTATTTTTAATCTTACCCTTCAAAGTTTATATGTGTACGTACATATACTTCTCAATCATAAAAATGATTTTAATTAGAGCTTTGACTCAAAATGTCAATTTTTTTATGTATTTTAATTATTTAAGCTAAAAATATAAATTTGTATGTATGTTTACGATTATTTTATGTATGCGTGTATTTTATGTTATTTCACTGTGATTGTAAGATTTTAAAAAAATATCAGTATTTATACCATTACCGGTGTTTTATTTTTACGAAGTTTCGATATTCCAGTGGAACCACATAACGGACAAAATATACGAAAATTTTACCATCAGTTTTTTAACTATTTCAGCCCTAACTAGTCTAAACCTGAAGTCAGGTTCTCTTAACTCTTGATTTTAAATTTTTTTTTTTTAAAGGAACTCTTGTGCCCCAAAAATTCTTTAAAAGTTTTGCAAGGCTATACCGGTTCTTACGAATAAAAAATTGAAGTTAGTTCCTCTCAAGCCCTACACTGACGCACCCTGTATAGGTTATCAATTTTCTCAAAAAGTTTTAGCTTCAAGTTTAAAGTTTTTTTACAATTTTCGTGCTATTAGAAATACATCGTTCACTTTCATCGAATCATATTTTCAGAATATTGAAATGGATTGATTCAAAATTTCGTACCCTGCCATCTATCGTTCAAAAATTGCACTGAACTACGGAATAATTGCTCACTGGGTAGCCAACTGTAACAACATCTCATTAACTGGTATATTAATTGAGCTCTGTATACATAGATGGCAGCGCATGTTATTATTAAAATTATTTTGAATATATGTTATTATAACATTAAGCTAAGAAAAAAATAAAGAAAATTTAAATCCTGAATTAGTTATTATTGTTAAAATTCCGAATTGTTACTATCTTTCTTCAATTTTCAAATAAACAGTTTGATTTCGGAACAGACTCTGACATGTTTGTAGCATATTCTCCCACTAAACATTTTTCAGTTTCTGACATGTTTCAGAAACGTCTCCATTTTTCTTGAAACGTTTCATAAAAAGTCCATGCAACGTTCTAGTAACGTTCTAGAAGCCCAAGATGTCCTCCTCAAAATACGTTTCCAATGTAACGTTTCAAAAAATTGGTTTCAGTAACATTCTTTTTATGGTCCATTTATGCCCTCGATATTTTTGTTTTACGTTTCAGTATATTTTCAGAAATGTTTTAGTAACATAATAATTTTATTACCATATTGTTCTCATAATGCTCTCAACTTTAGATCATTTTCATTTCAAAAGCGTTTTTGAAATAGTATAAATAGTGTGAGTATTTTTTTAAATATCTCTAATACTCCTTTGTGATATTTTTATTTGTATTGTGAATGACTTAATTCGAACTAAAAAAAGTTACATTGTATATTAAAAAAAATAAATATGCTCTTCTAGTTTGGGGATGCGGCAACTTTTACTAAGAATTTCTTTCTTTTTGAGAAGCCACTGAAAAAAGTTTCTAATATGGATTACGAATTTTGCCATTCATCGTACAAATAAAAATATCACAAAACAATATCAGAAGCATTAAAAAAAAGCTACACATTTTATATTGTTCAAATACGCTTCTGAAATGGAAATTTTCTAATGTTGAGACCATCATGAATATGGTAACAATGACGAACTGATAATTAGAAAAAGTTAGTTATGATTATGAATCTTGAAATGGTAGGTACATGAAAAACAAATAACATTACTGAAAAATAATATAAAGTTATAATTTCTTCTACGCATGGTCAATATTACATATATCCTTTTAATAATAATAAATTATACAGCAGAAATAAGGATACAAAATGATATCTTGACAAAGTAAATATCTGTAGGTATACCTAAACTCTTTTATTTAAGCATGCCTATACACATAAACAAATATAAACATTTGTACAAAATATAAAATAAATGACGTCTATTTCACTTGATTCATCCATATTTCAAATAGTTCTCACTGACTAAGTAGTTGCTCTTCAAATTATATCGAAACGTATAGTTGTTGTTCCATTTTCTTAGTTCTTGTCCCTTGTCCTCTTGTCTGTAATAGGTAGTGGGTATAACTATATTTAGGTAGATGTGACGCAAAATTGGAAATCTCTTCACACATATCGTTTTAAACATTTTGCATCAATATTCATTATTTTATATGCACCTTACAATAACCACAACTGCACACACTACAAATTATCACATAAAATAGCGTCAAAGTAAAGATGAATAACAACGAAACCAAGCAAACTGACAAACCGCAAACCTAACCTAACATAATACGAATTGAAACGACACACGGGAAACAAATAAACTCGGGCTGTTACGCGCAGTCTACGCAAGTCACGAACATACATTTTTTCTAGACTTGTGTTATAAATATGCTACCACATTTTTTTTTCTAATTATGTCTTTATATAACAAAGGCAAATGAACTAACGCTTGAGAAGGATTGGGGATTGAGAGCAAAATTTAACTAATGCCGAATGTTCCATAAGATAAGCAAAAATAGCAAAGGGTTGTTCGTCTGTTATGTTTCCGAGATCGAAAGGGAATGTTTCGAGTAATGTTTCAAACTCTCTTCAATTGTAACGTTTCGGCTATGTTTCACTAAATAAGTTTTCAAGTGCTACATTTCTGTAATGAAACAGAAACGTTTCTAGTTAATGTTTCAAATGTTTAGTAAAACATCTCATTTGCAACGTTTCATTTACGTTTCGTGTTTAGTGGGCTTCAATTTTTCTCAAATAGTTCTAAAGCTTATAAAAATCAGAAAAAAATAGGGTACGCTATAAGGGCCCCAAAACTGCATTCAGTTCCGCTCTAACTCCACGAGTTTTCGAGATTTTCGATTTTTTTTCTTTAACAAAAGCACTTGCACGGAAACAGACAATACTGGCTTTTTAACGAAAGCTTGCGTCCGGCACCGCCTCTTTAATTTTTTGACTATTTTCGTGGTAGAAATATACCATTTCTAGTTTCTATCACTTTTTCAATTACAGAATTAACCGATCCAAAATTTCATGCACTGCCATCTATCGCTCAGAATCTACACTGAACCACGGAAGAATTACTTAGTTTGTAGCCAACTGTTATAGCTACTCATTCAATGGTATTAATTGAGCTCTTTACGCATTGATGGCGCCACATCTATATAAAAAATATATTTGAATATAGGCTTTTTTTGCAACTGAATATTGATGAATATCTGACTTGTAGTTTGTAGTTACTATTTCTATCTTTTCTTTAACTTAGTCGTCATAAGATGGTTTAAATCTCTTCATTCGCTCTTTCAACGTTAGAGCATATATTACTGGAGACAGCGTCCCAGTGACCAAGAGTGTAGCGGATGCTGCCTTCAGTAGTATATGCTCTAAGCTTTCAACACATACAAACATAAGACTTCACTCGCGAAAAAAGGCCTTTACTTGTTATAACATTAAATTAAAAAAAAATAAAGAAAATTAAAATCCTAACCTAGTTTTTATTGTTACAATTTCAAATTGTTACTACCTTTCTTCAATTATCAAATAAACAATTTAAAACATCTGAAAAAATTTCGATGGACTGTAACAGCCCTGATTAATTCAAAACTGCACTGAGTTCCTCTCTAGCTCCTCCAGTTTTCAAAATTTTGTATTTATTTTTCTCTCGACGGAAATGTTAGGCAACCAAACTTACACTGCTGACAAGAATACGTATAAGTCACAGGATCTTACGATTGCAAATATTAGGCAACCAAACTTACACTGCTGACAAGAATACGTATAAGTCGCAGGATTTTGGCGATTGCAAATGTTAGGCAACCAAACTTACAACCAAGCAATGCGGAAAAATTAGAAATCTGAAGTACAGTAATTTTTTTTAATAAAGGCTTTTCTTAATCTCGAAGAAACACTGGCTCTATTCAATCGTTGCTCATTTTCGCTAATATTAGACTCAATATTTTAATTGAGAACACGACACCGAGGAAAAAAATTAAACATATTTATTATAGATACAACCCTATTTATTTTCTTTTCAGTTTTTATATAATACATAACAAAACTTAGACTGACTCCTGCACGGGAGGCTCATATCCTTCCGGTCGGTCCACCTTGGAACCGGCCTCGCCGCCGGCATCCCCGGATCCCCCTTTGCCTCCGTCCCCGTGCAATTCCAACAGTTTGGATAGTTCGAACCGCGGCTTCTTGAGCACCTTCACTTTTCGAATGTAAACGTCGTGGAGGGGATAGATGCCCTGGCATGCCTTTTCTATGTCCTTCGCGATACTATCGGGAAGTAGTTTGTTGACTACTTCCTTCAAGTCGGAGCCTTGAATGTCACGGGTGATGATCTCCACCATTTTCTTGCGGATTGCCCTGACCTGCAAGACGAGAGTTAATCGAGTTGATACGGAAACTTCTCAAGACGGGTAAAGAAAATATAAAAAGTAGTGCTGTGAGTCAGTATTTGATAATATTTGCGTCTATATTAGGGAACAAAGTATTATCATCATGTGTGTATCAATGCGAGCTGAGTGGATCATCATTTCACAACACCAATTTTCGTCTTTTCATATCTGGTGTTCCCAAAATTCACACAAGATTTGCCAATGAACAAAATTAATAAAAACGTGACAGCCGACAGTTCAGGGTAATTAAAAATGGACAGCTGCACGAAAGAGCAACACAATGTTAAGCGATATTTAAAAAATAATGATGGTTTGGCAGTTACAGTTTGCAATTTTCGTACAAAATATGGTCTGAATCAGTAACGGCTCGTCAGGTGATGCGAGTGATGCACCGCTTCACCTAAAATTTCCGTTTGGTTGTGCAATTTAAAATTATTTTTAATTTTACATAAATTTTATAATTTAGGTATATCTATATTGAAAAAGTATCGTGCTTGTTTTGTTTAGCAAGAAGAGCGCCAGAAGAAAGGGCCCTAGCCGGCGGGGCCCAGCCAGGACAAAAGGAGATCCCACAAAGCGCCTACACCGGCCGCATTTGCGGTCGGGGTAGACGACGGATGGGGCCCACCTACGAAGGCTGTCCAGGCCTACACGAGATGAGGCAGGATAAAGAGGGATAATCCCCCTCGATCCCAAATCATTGAGGCCAATTTCTAGCCATGGAATAATGGCGCGGCGCGCTTGTTTTGTTTAATACGCAGAAATAAACAGAATAGCTGTGCGGTGAACGCCTTCAAAAAAAAAACATTGCCTTCGTTGAGTGAGAACATCAACCTCGTACATACCATACAACGTATAGTATACGCAAGTGACACAGATGGAAATCAGTCTGTATTCTGCTTCTCTTTGTAGCGTTGTATACGGCGATTGTCATGGCAATGAGGCGGCGAACTCTGGATAAAACTACGGCGTGGAGGAACGAATGACGCAGAAATTGAAGCAGCATCGCCCATCACCTGCCTCTAACAGTTTATACGATACGTGTCGACCAGTGCACGATTCTTAGTTAATATTTGTTTTGTATAATAATTGTAGAAATGTTTCCTGTGTATGACCCAGTATGTATTTTATTGGAAATGCCATTTTCCAGAAGGAAAATTGAGGACAAAACGGATTTTTTAAATTGTGCGAGACATGTGCCTTATTCTCTCGATATGGAAAAAAAGGCAAGTCAAAAGACAACGTGTACGTTCGAAAGTTTCGAAATGAATGGTATTCGGAGTATAAGTGGTTATGTGTTGTGTGGGTGTTCATTTAAAAAATTTTTCTGTATGCCGTGTTTAATTGTGGGAGTAAAGTCCGGCGTGTGGAATAAGAAAGGAATTAAACAATTTTGGGAACGTTACGCAAGGCTGTCATAACCACAAAGCTTCTTTGGAACATACGTGTACGGTGTGCGTTAATGTTCGCCGAAGTCCACAAGCCGGACTAATATTTCTATTTTTTATAAAATCTAAATGAAAAACCTTCCCACGAACGTCAATTTTTCGATAATATTGTAAATGCAACTAAAAATTTATTTCCAGATTCATTTAAAGCCATTTGACTTTGAAAATTTTCGCAAGCGGCGCTTTTTTCTTCTTATACAGAAAAACTGAATCAATTAGTGATCTTTCAGGATTCCAGTGTAAAAAGTTAATTTAAAGGGGATAGCCACTGTGAAGGGTCATTTTTTTGCTTTAATTTAAAGTTTATACCTTCGAAAATATGTGTATAAAATTTTAAATCAAAATTCCGGAAATTGACTGAGTTACAGTCATTTTAGTGAGGCAGGTATAGACGCCGTAAATCATCGCAGGAATCATGCGCAAAAGGGAAAAATAAAATACAATGCCAAAGACACCACTGGAGATGTAGAGGAAGAACCATCATATGGCACAGGACTCGACAGTTTGATATAAGATAGAAGATACATGATTTTAAAGTAAGAAAAATGGTCTGAAAACTTTAAATGCGTTTTTCTTAAAACGAATTTTTTCAAACTGTCGCATCAATAACTTGATTAGTTACACAATCACAAAAAAAAAGTTGTCTGTACTTTTCATGCGACAGACGTTATCCCAAGCAGTGTTGTGCATGCTATTTTTTGATAATTTGGTCAGTCGCCATCTCGAATTTTCCAAAATTGACCACGGATCCGTAATGAACGACCCTGAAAACCCCCGTATACCAAACTTGGCGCGAATCTGTTCATGTTTTGAAAATTTGTGATATCTTACATTAATTGACCAGTTTTTTTGAGGTTAGAAAAAGAACCATCAATTCTGACTGTAGATTCACGTTCCATTTGGATATAGAAAAAAAAAATAGTATTTTTCCTAGCACTTTTTCGTGAATTTTTGCTATTTTTGATCTGTTTTTTTGAGGTTAGGAAAATTATGTGATGTGATAACTCAATTCTGACACCGGATTTGTGATCAGGAGGCAAAAATAGTACGGATAACATATGTCGAATGAAAGTACACCCTTTTTTTCGTGTGGCTGCGTTATCAACCGATTTTCATTTATTCGTCTTTGCAATGGCTGCGGTTAAGCGTAGCCGATTTTTAAAAATTTTTATTATATTTATTAAGACTGCATAAATGCAAAATAAAGGGGCAAAAAAGTGAAAAAAATTTTGAATCGTTCGCCATTTTGTAAAAAATCAAAATTAAAAAAAATGGCTACGTACAACGATAACTACAGTCATATAGATTCTAATCCAATTTGATTTCTTTTTATTTGTGATCAGGAGGCAAAAATAGTACGGATAACATATGTCGAATGAAAGTACACCCTTTTTTTCGTGTGGCTGCGTTATCAACCGATTTTCATTTTTTTTTTACATTTTATTCGTCTTTGCAATGGCTGCGGTTAAGCGTAGCCGATTTTTAAAAATTTTTATTATATTTATTAAGACTGCATAAATGCAAAATAAAGGGGCAAAAAAGTGAAAAAAATTTTGAATCGTTCGCCATTTTGTAAAAAATCAAAATAAAAAAAAATGGCTACGTACAACGATAACTACAGTCATATAGATTCTAATCCAATTTGATTTCTTTTTTTTTCAGATAACTCATTTTTGGAAAATCGATCGATTTAAGGCTTTACGGCTAGGCTCATAACTTTATAACAACTTAATATTTTTTAATAAAAATTTACATGAACCAAGTTGAAAATACAATCAATAAAATTAAAAAAAACCGATCCCCATATTTCTTAATTTTCCCGGTGAAAAAAATTCATAAAAATCTCTCACTCTTTCAGCCGTCACAATGGCTATCCCATTAATTTAATTATATTATTAAAAACTCTAATTACAGTACACAGCAATCATGAAAAATCAAATAAAATGTTTTTTTGAAGAAAAATTATCAGCAAATTATCTCACAGTTGGCTTATACAGGGCTGGAAAATCCACATGGTCCATCTGCCTTTACATGAGAACGACAAAGTAAAGTAAAGAAATCTGTGAGATAGACTAGGATGGCTGTAGTGAAGACGTTTCATAATCTGAATAGTCACCGCCCGTTTCCCCGTCGTTTCCAGTTTTCTGCCCAGTTCGGTTGCTAACGCAGCAACTGGGCTTTGAAATATTTGAAAAACTTGTTCCCATATTTATTTAGCCATACCCGTATACAGGTCTGGTCGAACTAAACGTGGAGGTGGTAGAAATGTATATGACAAGTTGAAGAATACACTCGCAGGCAGACGGCGCACAAACACAGCCGCACTGGGCGACCACCCATAAATTTCAGTTGGTGACAAATTGCGTAGCAGTGCAGTGCAGCAATACGGAATTTGGTGTGATTCAGGTAATTTTAATTTATTATAGTCACTTTCTATTAATTATTCATACTACAATTGCGAAAGGGAGAAATAAGAGGGATATTTTGTTTACTAATATTATTACAACATTTTGGAGACCTTTTGAAACGGAACAAAACGAAATTAACCATCAATGTAACAAAATTGTTTGAGGACAAGAATTAATTAAAATGTGTTGTTGACCAAATGAACATATAATAGAAATTTTCTACACATTATACGCAAATTATTATAATTTTTTACCTTTAGCAGAAAACTTTGTTAGGGACGCCTATCAAACTCATTAAATATTATTGCTAGGCGTTTTTATACATGTTCAACTGACTTCGGAAAGACTATACAGACATGCTTCGACTTGTCGTTTCGCTGCAGCTGAGCCATAGATATGCACCTAAATTCGTTGGTAATAAATCAGATAGTTGAGCGCATCACATTTACGTCTTTCAAGAGTGTATTGTTTTATGATTAATTTTATAGTCAAATTATAAATACCCCAATATGGATAAGAAACCTAACTAAACATCAATTCAAATGTACCCCGCGAGTATTGACAGTGAACGACAACGGTGGAACAGGATTGAAGACGCTGTTCACAATTTGCGGATATTATTATTATTACTATTACAAGTTATTTCGTTTCTGTCAACCAAATAAATTTAGTAAAGTTTTACGTTTACATAAAGTTAAGTTAAATCTACTTATTTTGATCGCAGGAAACTGTGGAATGGAATATTGGAACACCCTGTATATTTAAAATTAACAAACAAAAAAATATTTACAATTTTCTGTTAAGTAACGAGTATTAATATTGACCATAAAACTATAAAGACTCACCTGCGTGTGTTGTGCGTAACACGTCTTCCTCTGGGAAAGCTGGTCCTTATTGGTGAAACCGATGCAGAATACCCTCAGCAGGTACCCATCGGATGTCTTGACGTCAGCAGAAGCCTCAATCAAAGTCTGCCACTTTTTGACCATAGACCTTAACTTGTCCGTGGTCAAGTCCATACCGTGGAAATTGGTCAATACGTTCCTACCTACGTTGGGAAAAAACTGCATTTGTAAAACAGTATCAAAACATTACAATTATTGTAACGTACGACGTACAGAATAATTTGTGCGATCAGACATGAAAAATTTGCGTCTTATTAGGGAACATAATGATTTCATCATGTTTGTATCAATGCGAGCTGAGTGGATCATCATGTCACACAAAATTAAATTGTTACACTTCAAGTTTGTCAGTTTCAATACAAAGTTATTTATTAGTTAATTATATTTTAATTTTTTGTTGTATTCGTAAAAGTTCGTGCATGAAAAAGAAATAATGTGCAATGTCCTCGAATACACAAAGGGAAAATTTTTCTCAAATTTCACACTAGCGGTACTTCACACTAAATTTATTCTCATTTGGTCAATTCTCCACAAAAAAAATTATCGATCATTTTATGACAACTATTTCAAAACAAACACGGATGTAAGTGATCAAAACACTTACCTTGAACATCTTCAGCGATTAAACGGAACTTCCTGAAAGACCTCTCAGCGTCTTGGTCATTCTGCAAATCAGCCAGAGACACTTCAAATACTCTGAATTTTAATCCTTCAGATGCGATTTTGGTACCTTGGGTACGGTTAACCAAAGTTTTTCCAACTTGCCTCGTTGCAAACATTGACGGTGCTTTAACATCGTACCAATCTTTTCTTGTAAAAGGATCCACACTAAAATAAAAAGGTGCATAAGTAAGCATAAAAACAGTGAGGTATTCGTATGGTATAAAATCTAAACATAACCTTCAAAAAAATATGCTGAATTCTTTTAAAAATTGAAACTTACATGTAATATTAAAATCACAAGCTAAAATCGTGGTTAAGTGGTAAGAAAAAATCCTACACAGCAATTCACTCTGGCAAATTACTGAAATAAGTAACAATTGTCTTGTAAACTTGAGCACGAAGCCTTCTTTAAATCGCAATTTTTCCATATAATCATTTAATAATTTGTAATAAATCACTTGCAAAATGTGTTACGTATCGTTCAAAAATGAATGTACGTTAATATTTCATACTTACATCTTCTTCTTAACACCTTTTTTGCCTCCTTTCGAAAGACCCTTATTTTTACCCACCGCCATGACTGCTGTTTTAGAAAAAGAGAAAAAGGTTACGTATTCTTGTCGACCAATTGAGTGAAGTTGAAGTCGAAAGTCGAGTAAGGTTAGCAGCATTGGTTGCTATCTTCACTTTGAGAGCATTCGAATTATATGTATTGATTACCTTGAAGATACAAGATGTGATCCAAGCAGTACAAATTAAATTGGATCCATGTTAAATTAGACTACAAAAAAGGAATGTGTTCAATAATAACCTATAAAATTTTTTTTTTATATATTTTACTTTTCCTTACGATATTTTGAAATATGGAACCCCCGATTGAGCCTGATGAATCGGATTGCTGCAACTCAGGATGCAACCCTTGTATTTTAGACGTTTACGAAGAGCAACTAAGGAAATATAAACAACGAACAAGTTCATTAATAACTAAAAATAACTGTATTTCTCTAACCTCGTACGCAATTTTTAAACTTATAAATATAGAAAAACATTGGAAACAAACTTTCTTATTTACGTTTGAATATTGTGGACCACAAAAAGGTGAACCTAAAGTCGATGCGAGTTTATTATATAAGCCTGGTCAACATTTTTTAATGAAGGGCAAGACGTATGACGAAGAATTCACCAGAGCTTACACACCCATTCCGATAGAAAATCAGAGTGATTTACAATTCACAACACTTATAAAACTTTATGAATATGGAGTCATGTCTAGGTACCTCAAAAAAATTTCCATAGGAAGAGAAACGTTGTGGAGAGGGCCTTATGGAGACTTTACAATAAATTACGATATTCAACATATGTTGTTGATAGCGCAAGGAACGGGATTAGCACCGCTCTATAGCATAGCTTATGATATTGTAAATAACGATGAGTGTTGCACGTTCTTAAAATTATTTTTCTGTTGCAAAGATTCCAATAGTATTTATTTAAGGGAGCAACTTTATAAATTGAGTACTTACTGGAACTTCAGTTACGAGGTTTTTTTAAGCGAATCCCAAGGAATTTCTCCTAAATACAATGAAATTATTCATCCGAAGAAATTGCGATGTGACGAAATTGAAACGTATTTAAAAGATAAACATAAATCTGTAAATATCTTGATATGTGGCAGCGAAAATTTCATGGAGGACATCAAAAAGCATGTATTAAGAAGTAGTGTCGCAGAAGAGGATGTATTTACTTTTTGAATAAAAACATTCTTAATAAATTTATTTATTCGTCCATTAAAAAAAATATCAAACTGAGATTAACTAACTAAAGTAATCGCGACAACTTGGTATCGCTGTAAACAAGAATAAAATCTAAAATAACAAGAATCGTTTTGTCAATACATAAAAAAAATTAACCTCAAATTCTTACAGTTAAAAATGTTCATATTTTTGTATCAAAATTTGTAATCGGTGTGACCAGCTGCTTGTCGTAACAGAATGTAAATCTTTTCCTTTATCCAATCTTTATTGTAAGGAGCATATGTGTTTGTAGACTTCTGATATACGAGGCAGCTCAGATCGGACAACTAAAAAAAAAAAAGAATAAGTATAGCAGAATTTTTAGTTGCACATGTACAAAAAAAATAATCAAATATTTTAACACGCCTACTATACGTACTTTTCATTGCTACCAAATTTTTAAAGCCAAATTGATTAGATAATGAACATTAAATTATCTAGATGTGAATGCACTTTGCTTATCAGAAGCTAGTATTCCCCGAACAACTTCCATTTTTTCAATGTTTAAGATTGACAAAAAATTTTACCCGTTTTATAAAATTTTCTCAAGTACAGCATTTACATGACACGGGTTCTTGAATTGACATAATTTGCATTTTTATGATAAACATATGATTAATAATTCAAAGGCATCGTGAATTAATAAATAAATTTAGCCATTTTTACACTATCATTACCTGATCTACAAAATCGAACAGCTGAGATATATCGTAAGTTATTGTGGGTGTGTTTGGATTTCTGCGTTTTAAATGTTCTTCATAAATTCTACAAACGCCTTCCATACATTCATTTACTGATTCGTAATCAGAATATGTCCGGGTCTCGGGATTAGCCCCTGGCTGAACCAGCAAAATGGTATGAGCCTAAAACACATTTTTTAACATTTTTTTTTGCCTTACTGCAAGCAAGAGAGAGGAAATAATAATTTTACATTATTAAAATACAATTTACCATTTTACTCTATATATACAGCAAAATAATTCAATAAAACTGCTTGTTTATCGCTTTTTCTAGAAATCTTTAGGTTAGTTACAATTACAAATTTACATTGCCAACATCAAAAAAATTAAAGTATCTCATAGACAATTGGAAACTGGGAGCTTTCGTTTTGTCAAAAGTAGTACCTATTGGCAACTAATATCAGTTCAGAGTAACTCTAAATCGCTATTAACTACTAATTTTGTCAAAACGAAAGGCCCTCTGGTATCACAAATCTAGGAAAAATATCTAGATGACGTCATATTACTATCGGCGATTCTAACTTCCAACATTCTCGACCCGACCTGGTAAAGAATACTATAATTATCATTGATTTAGGCTTGTTTTGGTTCTGTAAGCGAACAGTTCCAAAATAGTCACCCAAGTGTATTGTCAGTACGTCTTGACAGTTGGCTTGTTCTTATGAATGGAATGACCAACTCATCAATTTGACAGTATATTATTGTCAAATCTATGCTTCGAGCTCTGAGCTACTAGTATATGCTCCAAAAATCTATGGATCAACTGATTTGAACCGTCCTATATAGTACTGTTCTCTATCGGAACCAAAACACACCTAAGTACTGTTTTGGGGAACAATCTGTATTGCCAACATCGAAATATTTAAATTCTCATTATACAGGGTGTTATAAATTAGTAGGTCAAACCTTAACCACATATCTTTGGAGTAAATTAATGGCTCTTCTTATGCCACCTTTTCATTTCGGAGCCCCATTTTCAAAATACAGGGTGTCAAAATTAAATTTAAAAAATGATTTTTATTGAGGACTCCGGTGATTGTAGATATTTATTTGAAATTTAGCATATATTTTGAACTTAAGTCGGCACACCTTTTGCGTGTAATTTTGGTTTAAAATATCAAAGCACGAACAAAGCGAAGGGGAGGCTGCAGTACCCATGGACTCCCTATATTTTTTTAATATGCCTATGCTTTCCGAATTTTTTTTTAGGTAAAGTGGTGTTCTATTTTTTTGAGGCCTCGTTTACGATATATTATAACTTTTTTGGCTACACGACGTCAATTTAGTCGACGTCGACTTTAATTTTTGGGATTTACTGTCCGAGATTTGTAACTTTTTTTATGATGATCATTTCCAGTTTATTCAGTAAATTAAAATAAATACATCGACTCAAACTTTTCATATAGCCCCAAAAACTAAAGTCTAACATCGACTAAACGATGTCGATAACTTTACTTTTGAATCGACAGCATATGCGAATACTGGGCGTTCTTCGTTTCACTGCATCAGATACCATCAACTAGTGGATTGTAAGGATATGAAATAAATTAAATAATTTTATACAAAATTTAATAAACACTCTTATATAATTCAATGTACAAGCTCGTACCAAAATAAAATACTCCCAACTCTGTGCAAAAGTTGAATATCACTCATAGAAAAATACTTAGAAAACGGGAATTTTCGAATGATGCGTATGAGACAGATCATCGTCCAATGTCAGTAGCACCATAAACGTAAAAAACATCCCGGTGGCACTTAGGAAGTGCCATATGTCGTGCGAATCATAGAATCGAAGCAACAAACACTCTCTATTGAATTGACGAGACTCGGCCGGTGTTTTCTGTAATAGAATATATTTTAATAACGATTTTCCCTCCGATGGTTCATATTTACTCACCGACCAAGAAATAACCTTGAACGTGAAGAAATACAGCGCAGCTATAGCACACAATGTAGACATTACTAAGAAGATCCAAGTTAGAATCCTTACTCTTTCTTTATTCAAATACTGCAACGTAATAGACAGAATTAACAAAATATTTTCGCTATACCGTCGTAAAATTTAACTTTTTCGCACTAGTGCATGTATATTTTACATATCGCAAAAAGTAAATTGTTTATATTTTAATTCGCCACAGCAATGATATTTTTCGTGAGATTTTATTCAACGAAGTACCTACTTACACTTTTATTATTTTATTTCATTTTGAACACGGGTACATAAAAATTAAATGAAAAAATTAATTTCATCTTACATTATAAAACTATCATATGTAAAGATAAGAAAAAGCATTTTTTTTCTTCACTGTGGTAAATTGTTACAGTAGTTCCGATAACAGAACTTTATTGGCTTATTCTTTTTTTTGGAAATCTATCTCAAAAAAATTGTACGGACTGTTCACGCCATTTTACATTACAGTCTGTTGTGTGAAAAAATGCATCGCCAATAATCAAACCCACTCTTATGATACAATTAATAATTCAGAAAAATGTTGCCCGTCGATTTTTACTGCGAACTGTCAAAACCGAAGTTTCTTAAAGTTAAATTCTCACTTACCTTCATCACAATGTAAAAGAAAAAGTACAGCAACGTGTTTGCCATGAATATTGTTAGGAGGAAGACGGGGAAATTTTTTGGGTGTTTATATATTGCAAAGAACGCTAGACCCCAATTGCAAACATTTCCCAGCGAAAGAAGAACAAAACGAGCTGTAAAATAAACAAATTATGTGAAAAAAAATATATATCGATGAAAGAAAAAAGGCAAATACCTAGATAACAGGGTTTTAACACATTTAAAGGTCCAGACCAGAAGTCACTTATGATTATGTGATATATGTGTCTCACGGAAGATTTGCCTAAAAAAAATGATGAATTAAAAGATACAGAAGACTTTCGTCATTTATATTCAAACAAAATTATTTGAATGAGATGGAAATGCGCATTTTTTCTTCATATGCATCCCCAAATTTTTTGTTTCTGAGATACAGGGCAGGGTGAAGGTTTTGACCAAAAAATTCCCTAATATTTCCAGGTTTCCCGGGTAGATTAAAAAAAAAATTAATTTACGATGATATAAGCACTATATCACTTTCCATTTTCAATCATCACTACTTTCTAGCCGTTACATTTTGATAATGAAGTTTGGGACTCACACCATATTTTGAGGGTACGATTTCTAGGTCAAAATAGGTAATTTTTATGATGAAAAAAATTTCAAATAAACTTTGTGAATTAAAAAATTAAAATAAAGTATAGCTGTTACGATACGAATTGGAACGTGTGAATCTTAAAGCACAGGTCCGTCTGTACTTCTCCTGAAATTTCTTCCTATGCTTTGGCCATAATCTGTCTCGTAATTTATACTCGAATAGCAATTCGTTGAGTCCTGTATTGGTAAAACAGTCCGCCTGATGTAGAATTGACAGTGCCGCACTGGTCGTCAAAGCAAACACTTGTATTGGTCCACTAGGTCATAAATAATTTTGTGTATGGTGCGTGGCGTGGTATGTTGTTGGTATAATACTTATTATTTATTTGTTGATATTATTATTTAACCATATCCTAACCGGTAAAGGGTAATAGTTATTAAAATAAATGTTATATGTAATCATTTAGTAATTTGGCATGGCTTTCTGGAGACTCTTTGAAGCGGAGGATAACGAAATAACTCGGGAAAATCCCCAAATAGTCGAACTAGCTTTGTCGAAAGCATCGAAACAAACTTAGGGTTTAAAAACAAAGATTTGCACGTACAAAGTCAACGAATTATTTTAATATATGAATGTTTCAAAATTGAAAATTGTGAACAGTGTGATAAAGAAATTAGGAAACGCATTAGCGAATTAACTGAGATATCAAAAATGACAATTTATCGCATAACTAAAGGAGACGTTATTGATCACGGTACAAAGAGGAAACAGAAAAATACAAAATTAAAGAATATTGGCGGTTTTACTAGAGATGTAATAATAATATAATATAATAATAATAATAATTCATAATTTGTATAAAGAAAATAAAGTTCCTACTTTAATTCGAGATAAATTAAGCAATTATCCTGATTATAATTATAAATCTTTAGATATTTTACGACGTTTTATTACAATGCGCTTTTAAACATAAAAAAACTTGACAATTGTATGGTAATTATAGAATCACGGCGTATAATTGCACTTAAGGAAGATTATTTTGTGGGTACACATGCCGCAAGTGACCCATTTTTAAGCATTACATCAAAAGCGCCAACAGGACGCCGCCGGACGCACCAGCGTTCCAGGAAGGGTCTACGGCGGACTGGCGCCGGCGACCAGATGCTTACTCATATACCTACGACCGACTCCACACACACAGGGACTCTCTAACAAACACTCGCCCCGTCAACACAATTTACAAAAAATTAGAGAATATCGCCAAATAAATATGAATATAGGTGGGAACATAGTATATCTAGACGAGACAGGACAAAATTTGTCTGGACGCCTATGAATCCCGTAGAATTTATGAGTTAAGTGTTTTTATGCAATTCCAATTGAGATCGTAACAACTATAACCTGTCCGCAGATCTGAAAAAGGTTTGCATGTGCCTGTGCAAACTATTTACTTTACAGAAAGGACTTCGCAACTATCCTTATGGAAAATCGGTCCCAGTCGAATGGTACGAAACGTTGCCAAATGATAGTCCTTAATGTGTCGATTAAAAAAGCTCATGAGACCTAGGTTTTTTGTTACGACAAAGAATCTGACTGTAATTGTAAGGCGTTGTTATATTTATACGATCTTAGCTAGTGTTAAGAAAAACTAAGGTAAACCAGAAAGTATGTAAAATATAATTAGAATAACTTATATATAATAAAAATTTATTACACAGCATCTCCAAATTGAGATATATGCGAGGTTATGCCAGGGACGGATTTTCCCAAGGGCGTACGGGGCGATTGCCCGGAGGGCCTGTTCCAGAGGGGCGATCGAAGGGGCGTTCCTCTGGATTTTTTGCTGACATTATGCATTTACTAAAAGGTACTGGGGCGGCCATCATATTCGCCCAGGACGCATAATTTAAAAATACGTCCCTGGGTTATGCTCATATGAAATTTGTTTCCAGTTTTTAGTTAGAGTTAAAAGTTATTGTTGAGAGTATTGCAATGTATAAATAAAAAAGTTATAACTTACTTATGCTCCAACATCCCATGTAGTATATTTTTATACTGAGATACAAGCACGTCAAAATGTAAATAACAATAAAGAAACTCCAAAACACCGTATTCCCCTCAAAAATTCCAATCATACCTTAAAAAAAAATTATAAAAAATAAACTCCCGAAATATTAATATAAGAAAAACTAACCTAGTAATATGGCAATTGCGAGGACTCCGAAAGTAGCATACGCCGAGGCGTTTATATCCGGATGTCTATTTTGGTATAATTTTACCATACATAATACTGCCATTACGTACATGAAACTCGAATCTGAAAAAAATGTTAGTAAAAAAAATATCGTGTACAATTTAGATTAGCAGTTCGTACCAAATTGGAAATTGGATTGACTGGGGCAAACGTGATAACTCCCACTTAAAACGCCTTCCATAATAAGGGCCACGCCCATGGCGTAAAACATTCCGTAATGTTGCGGTATACCGTAATGCTAAACAAAATTACGTTATTAAAATCTTCGAAGTAACAAAAACAAACATGTTCTTTTTCTGTTTAACGCCAAAATGTCTCAAATCTGTGAAACGTATTGACCATTTTCCATTCAATAGTTTCAAATTTTATTGCTTGTACACACTATTTTTTTTTATATTCAGTATCGGTCTTCAAGCCTCACCATGGAGATCTCAGTTGTCTTAAAAGACGCAAGATCGAATAAATTTGCAGAATTTGTTATAAAATAATATGCCCAAGAGATATTTTAACCTATATCTTTTTTCAAATCAGCTAATTTTTTTGTCCTCGAAAATCCAGATATCCATTTTACAAAGCAAGCTTTGGAAACAAAATAACTTCACTATAATAGTGATAGAATAGTAAAAGCACTATCGTCTTACTGTATTTCGTGAAGGTCTTTGTTTTTCTGGATATCAAGCAGCAAATCCTCTACATGTTCTTGAAATTACTTTTGTCACAGTTTCCACAAATAACAAACAAATTAAAATAATCCTCATTAGTATAATTCAAACGATCCTCAGGCATTTTTATTTAAATTTTTGATAAAAACTATTACAGACACAACAATAATTTGACAACTAACTTAACAAATGTCAAGTTACTTCAATTGTTTTTGGAGTGTTTCTGATCATGGCCAATTTGACTACAGGTCTGATACAAGAAAAACTTATTTAAATGAGCTGTCAAAATTATGTTTAAAGCAACAGTCGAATATTTTGTTTTCAAAGCACTCTATAAAAATGAATAATTTGATCATTTGAGGAAACAAAAAAGTAAACAATAATATTTGTTATATCGTAATCAGGTATATGTACTTACTCTGTCAAAATTAATGTCTCTATGCGTCAGCTCCCTATTATATGTTATGATAACAAACAGTACACCCAACAAGATGTAACCGATATTAGAAAATATGTGGTTAAAGTCGCTGAGGAGCCCCAGGGGGTGAGCGCACAGGAAATTGTAATAACACAAATCCTGCTGCCCGGTTTCGTTTAAAATCTACAAAACAAAAATCGCTACAATTTTATAAAACGAGGACACATAAATAACGCACCCGCTGATAGGCAATCACTAGCTGTACCACCGGAAGCCCATAAAATATTGCTATAGTTAGTACGTTATAAAGATACAGGTAGGACTTCTGTTTCAACACTCTCGGATCCTTCCTGGCCAAGTCAGTTAAATAGGGATAACCACGGCAGAGCCTTATTTCTTTGACGTGTTCGATCTCGTCAACTATATCATATTCGGTTTCGTCGACAGAGATACTATCCAATGCTGCTTCGGTACCTATATTTGTCATTTCTGTATAAAGAAGAATAATACATAGTCGCAAATTGTAGTTAAATTTGTACGTACTGAGGAACATGCTTTGCATATTTACTGCGGGTTCAGGCCTCATGCAGAAAAGCGCAAGTTTAATCGGCAGATAGATATTAAACGTAATGTTAGTAAATAGAAGTACATTAGTATTTGTCAGCAGAAAAATTATTGTATGATTGACTTAAAAGGTATGATATATAAAGTAGAAGTTAATCATTATTCTTAAATGAAGTAAAATACAGTATGTCTTTGCTTAAGAGGGCTCTATAGCAAATAGGCAACCAGCGATACATTTTTATAGATTTTATTACACAGTTTGTCTAAATATGAATTAGTGCACAACAGTGGCGGCTCGTTAGAGGAGGCTGGAGAGGCTAAGCCTCCTCTGCAGTTTTTGATAGTATTGCAAAAGTTTTCTTTTAGTTTTTTAGTTTACCTCATATAATTAATATTATTTAAGAAATTTTCATATGCAACTAATTAGGTTTTAAATGTTCGCTATTTTTCGCACCCTCCGAATTCGCATTATAGTCGCTGGCAGCTAACTTTCTGAAGCCTCCAGCCTTTATCCGTGTTCTATGCTGCTGTGAGACCTTGAACTGATGCCACGATGTCTACATTCGAGCTGAACCAGTCGAGCACGGGGGCTTGTTGCCACATTCCATCTCCTTTTAACAAGCGAATCTTTCAATATAGCCCTTCTTGTCTACCACCTCGGCGATCGGAGTTGTATGTTGCAATGTTGCATTTCATAGTAAAAACATTGGTCGTCTGTGAGCATGCGAGTTTTTGTTTTTAACTGGTGTTTATGTGGTTTCTCTTAAGAATTTTTGTGAGACGATCATAATTAATTAGTAAAACAATCATTTACATTGTGTTCTGGTACGTACTTAACTTTATTAAAATAAAATGAGTGCGGAGAACAAACATAACTTCAACAACTTCTTTAGTTGCATGGAGATTGTAGATTATTTGTTATTAAAAGGATTTAGTACTCTCATAATTAAACAGAAATCGAGACCAACACCTTCTTTGCAGTCTTTAATTGCAGTGGGAAGAATTTGAAAGATTTGTTGGATTTTTGACAAAGAAGTGGGAGAGACGGTGCTCCTCAAGCTCATTTTAATCATTGTTACGCACATAAATTATATTTAGTTTTAAGTAAAGCTTGCAACGCCATTAAAGTGAGAATTTTTTTTCAAATCTTCCTGAATTTTCGAAATTTTTTTCCAAATAGACTAAAAGATCTAACATATTAAATAAAATAATGCAACACAGGATTCCAAGTAATGCTCCCACTAGTCGGAATTTTTCTTCTAGAGCTATTTTTACGGTCAAAATTTATGGAAAGAAACTTATCGAGGTTTTTGATTTCATATCGGATAGTGAGGATTTTTTAAATGATCAACAAACCTTAGGATCCGCTTATGGATTAAAACAATTGTTGTAGGACAAAAATTTCATTTTTTTCTTGAAAACCTTTACAATGATTTCTGAACAAACCTATGTTATATTCCGAATGTTGCAGAATAAATTAACTGACGTAACAGTTTCTAAAAAGAGAATTCACTTTTATCAAAATTAAAAGAATTCCGTAATAAATGAGATACATTTCAACACATTGTATGCAATTTTCTTAGAAGATATTGACAAAACCTTTAACAATGACCCACCCTCAAAGAAAAGAAAGACAAGTTTTTTATTTCAAGCCTCATCTGCCAAATATATTACGAGACGCCTCTGGTGGACAAATAATAGACATTCCTTCATTCTAACGCAGATTTTCTATAAAATAGAGTTCGTTTGAAACTCAAATTACTTTTTGTTGTAAAGAAATGTGTAATTTTGAACAAGCGGCATAATAAATTACAAATTTGAGTTTCAAACTAAGTCCATTTTATACAAAATCTGCGTTAGAATGGAGGAAAGTCTATTGTTTGTACATTATTTCTTATTTAGACAAACTGTGTAATAAAAATCTATAAAAATGTATTTGCTATAGAGCCCTCTTAAGAGACGAGTCAAAGCAGCACACATTCATAGATTTTTAAATGCCTGTATGTAAGCGCATCGCCTCAAAAAAATATAAATACAAACAAAGGCGGCAAATAACAAATACATGCGGATTCTGTGTCTGAAAATGAACATATATGCAACAAGTGTATTAATAATAATACCTAAAGAACTATAATTTTGAAGATAACATGATACAAATAAAAAAACAGATATGTCCCATAAAAAGATGAGGTTAAATCAGAAATAAACATTGTTAACTATGCATTTGTTGTTCATGATAAATTGTTTCTTCAAAATTTGTTATTAAATTTATCAGTTCGCACTGTTTTTTTTTTACATTTTGAAGTAAATCATGTTAAACCTTTTAAACGAAATATCTATTTTATTATCAATTCAAAGTTTGAACCGCAATTTTGCTTCTTACACCACACCTTTCAAATCTACCACTAAATGAAAAGCTCCATTATTGATAATGTTAAACAGATAATTGAATCAAAAGATTAATTATACACAGGGTCTCCAGAAACGAACGGATAGTTTCCTTGGATGAAAATTAACTAGTTTAGTTTCCAAACAAAATTACTGGTCATGTGGCTTAGTATCATTTATAAAGATTCTGCATAATTTTACTTCCTTAAAAAGTTGCAGGTTCTCAAAAAATAAGACAGTTTATTTATCATTATTTTTTTAAAATTAAATTAAAGATCTCAATCAAATTTCGCGCTTCTCGGTAAAAAACTGCCGTTTTATGTCAAAGCAGACTTTTTTTGTACTTTGTCACTTTATTCATATGACAACGTGACATAAAAGGTCAAAGTATTTTGAGATTTGTCTCAAAAAACATTTAGAGGCCTATTCTCAATTCAAATATCAAGTGTTCCGCCCATTGACGGAAATACTTTGAATTTTGAACCTTACACAAGCATTATATCAAAATGCACATACATCTGACTTAAAAACTGCTTTGGATTGCTTAATGAACAAAGTTGATACATTTTTTAAATAGCATCACCTTGCCAACACTTTCTGTACCAAAAATCAAAGTTGCCACAAAACTGTTATAGCATTATATGAACAACAACAGTTAAACAAACATTTCTTAAAAGACTCTGTTAAAGTAAGTAAAATGATCGCTAAATTAAAGAAAAAATGTTTTTTCAAATGGAACACTATATATCAGTGCGTACTTGGGTTCGTTAAATTTTTCTCTTTTCAAAAATATATAATATGTTACTGTTTGATTCACGACTTTTCGATATATTTCAATATAAAGCTATTTTTAAAAAAACGGGAGGGAAATTTATGTTTGACGGATCGCAGTGGCTATGGACGAGGCACGCGGAACAAACAAATGACTTTGACAGTAGTTTATTTATCATCATTAATTTATTTCTTATAACAAACTATTTTAACAAAGAAATAATGTTTAGTGAGAATGAAAAATTTGAAGCTATCCGTTTATTTTACAAAAATAATAATAATGTGAATGTAACGTGCGCCGAATATGATTGTTTGCATCCGGGGTTTCCAATTCCATCTCGAGCTGCATTTTACGACATTGAGCGACGCTTTAGAGAAACAAAATCTCTTGGAAGACAAAAACGAAGAATTATTCCAAATGAAGAATTAGAACTAACTATATTACTATATTTTCAAGGTAAGCAAATATTCATTTGAGGTTTACCATGGAAATTTCAAATATTAAATTATTGTAGAAAGACCACAAGAGTCCACAGTAAATGTACATGGACATAGCTAGAAAGCACGAAAGTGCTTAGGTAAGTCGTTGATTGCGTTTTTTTTTTTGAGAACACCATAGAGCTTGGAGAAGCCTTGGACCTCCTCCAAGCAAAAATCCTAGCTATGCCCATGAGTATGTAGTGCGCATTATTTAACATTTGTGAATCTCACTGGCTACATGAAACTATTTGAAATGTAATTTTCATCTAAGGAAGCTACCCTCGAAGCATGATTCATTTCCTAACACTGTATAAGAAAAATAGCAAAAACCGTGAAGCACTAACAAAACCAAATACCTGTCCCTTGATCTGTCGCAGAAGTTCTGACAATCCCTGATAAAAATGAATGACGTTATTAGAATGATCGTTAAAAAAAATTCGTACAAACATATAACATGGTTGCCAATACGAAATAATCAAAGATGGTGTACTTTCTTATGATTACACATTAAATGAAACCACACAAAAAGCCATATTGTTAACACAATTTTTAGAAAATATTTAATATGCGCCACATCAAAACCTTATTTTTTTTATTCAATTATGTTTTATTACCCATTTGCCCATTTAAAAAAAAAATACAAACTGTCAGTTTATACCGAATGTAATAAATGTTCTGCAAATGAAAATATTAGAAAATAAGATCGTAATTCTGCCTACTAAGCAAGAGGGTCCTAAGTTTGATGATTTAGAACAGTGGTTCCCAACATGTAGGTCTCAACCACCTGAGGAGCCACTAAAAGAGATTTTACAAACATATCAGGGGGTTACAAACTTACCCTTAAGTTTAGCGTTCGATTATCAAATTATTTTGATCAAGCTGGCAAATTATTAAAATTTGGAACTTAAAATAAATGTTTTAAATGAATTCGAGACGTCATTTAGTGCGATTGAGAATCGAGAAAATGAATGCCAAAGATAGGACAGTGCAATCAGCATGAACGTAAGTAACAAATGTTTAGAAACAGCCGAATTCGCTTTGTTTAGAGGCCCCCTGCATGCGCATTTCTTTAGATTAGGTTCCAGTATGTTGCGTTCTGTGTCACGCTAAATGACATCACAATGCGTTTTTGATCACACGACGAAATTTAAATTAAAACATCTACAATTTTTTTACCGCCGTTAGTTGTTATCGGTTATAGACTACAAATGTATACAGTTTTAGAAGAAATTAAATTTTCGTGCGAATTGCCTGTTTTTGCAGTCGCAAAATTGTGATTTTTTCATTTAAAAGTACTCGCACTTTTTCAAGTGTTGCAATTTCAAAATGTATGAAAACCACTGGTCTAGAGATAACATTTTCAAATTCATAATTTTGTAGAAGAGTTTATTTTTAATTTATTTTATCAGATTCAAGTTCTTTTAGCGAACCTAATTTTTATGGGTCCGATGCTTCTTTATAAAAATATTATCTACAACAACTGTGGACAATTCATATTTTCTCTTGTGGATTATGTATGTTTTGCATCGATCGCATATTGAATTTGTCTGGTACGCACTTCTCTGATGAGCATTTTTTTGTTACGAGTTACTACCGAGCAAATTCGACAGTTTCGTAGCAAAATTAGCGTACACGACAAACCAAATTTAAATTGCTTCTGTTGCAGATACGATCACGAAATTATACTAGAGGTTGAAGGTTCAAAAAATGGCAAAAAAACTCAATTTTCTTGGAATGTCAGTTACGACCTTCCTCGGCAAGGCAGAATGAAGAAATGCAAACAGTACAAGTATTATAAACTTTAGTGCACGCATCGCTCGTGTGCTTAATATTTGGAAAGAATAAGAGAAAAAAATACATATATATTTACTTGAACTATGTGCTTGCATATCATTTTCCTGTATATAATCCATATGTCGAGGCTGACTTTTTTTTATGGAACAAAAGAAGAAGAGAAACCCAAATATTATGTAGAATGCACCTAAAATAAATTACATATACAGTGTGGAATAGCCAAATGGAATAAATTCAGTATCTATAAAAAATCCTGAGACACGATTTTGGATTCTGATCCCTAAATTCAACCCCTGAGGCAGTTGCAACCCCTAAATTTTTAAAAGAGAAGTAGGAGCTCGTGATAAATCAGTTGAAAGGACATTTTCCATTCAAAAATGCTATGGTTTTAATATTTATTGCAAAAATTAATGGTCTGCCGACAAAATTCGTTACAACAAACAAACAAAAATTTGTCAGCGTTTTGTTCTTGCAGTGTAGCAAAAACAATGTCAGTGTTCTTTTTCAACATTATCTACTAAAAAAAAGACAACTTATCGAAATTCTTCATAGAGTTTTACTAACTGCAATTCCCAAACATACAGAAATACATAAAATAACATACAGATGCTTGGTTATTGATTGCGATCGTGTCTCGGGATTTGTTTGTAAATACGCACAATAACGGAGATACTGAATTTATTTCATTTTGCAGTGGGTACTTCAAGTAACGAGAATAAATATTTATTTACCTATAGCACACAGAGTGAAAATTACGGCATTGACGTAATCTCTATACGCTATACTCGGTTTAATGATCAAGGAAATATCTTTAACTCTCGGAGAATCAGATGACGTTAGCACCCTAGCTTTTGTACAATCGTAGTCATCTGATTTCGCCACAAAAACTACATAAAAGCCGTAGGGAAAGTTGTTTTTCTAAAAGTAAGAATATCAACACACTAAAATGAATGGTGAATTTATGCGGTAACGGAACTTACAGATATAGTAATTCCGCCTCTTCTATTAACAGTCTCATAGAAACCCCTAAACGTAACGTCTTGGTCTGTATCAAATACTGGACACTGAAAAATTTAATGTAATAAAAGTGATGAGAACGCTGCCGCCTACCGTCCGCAATTTCAACCAGCATAAAAAATGGTTACGAAATACTAAAGTTAGTTAAAAATATTGTACTTACACTGACGTTCTGAATGCTGACAGTCATACAGATATCGTCCTTGGACTCTACCTCCAAGATAACAGTTTCGTAATTTGAATCCTTTGCGGCAAACGTTAAATTCGTTGAAAAGTTATAGAAAAAGTAACTGAAATATGTACAAGCTGTTAATGCAAATTTATATCATTCGAAAGCAATTATATTACCTGGGCTCACTCGGGGATATACTAAAATTGTACATTACTGATGGTTTAATCTGGAAAAACTCTTGATTTTTAACATTAACAGTAAAGCTTGCATTGACACTCGAAACTGTGGATATAGTTAAGAACAGTTGTTCAGACTGTATATTTGTTTTCCCTAAAATAAAATAATAAAATTGGTGTTGAATAAAACTGAAATAGTATTGCGGTATTGTACATGTTCCAAAAAAAAAAAACACAAACCACGCAATAACCCGAAAAGTTTCAGATTTTTAATATCCTACAACTTTTATCGAGTGTAATAGGTATTAATCCCAGAAAGTTATTGGAGAGTTTAGCTCATTTTGGTCTGTTTACATTCAGAGAGAACATTACGAAAATCGTGTGCTGATTTCAAATTACACATATCTCTCTTCTATTAAGAAATAAATATGGCACCTACCTGATAGTCTTCTGTTTTTAAGTATATCGTAACATAAAATTCTAGCAGTTGTCATAAACTTAACGTCTCCTAGGTCGCCTTCGACAAATAGTGGCAACTGCCATGACAGTACTTCTTTTGGCTGCCTCGCCACTATCATAAGTGGCGACGTAATATTGGCATCTTCACTTTGAATCCATATCCTGGGAGGTTCTTGAAACTGAAATTTTTTATATATACCACGAATTATATACATATTATAATCCAGTTCATATACTCACATCGGTAATGTTAAATTGCAAGATATACTCTATTGTATTGTTTATTTGTAAAGTATTATTTACATTTGTTTCTAACTGAAGTAAAATAGGAGTAAAAGCAACATTTTTTGAAAAGCCTATGGTCAAAATTACTAAGGTCAAAAGTATTACTCCAGACATAGTGTTATCTAGAAGTTTATTATTATTATATTATCTTTTTGGTAATTCCACAACATTAACCACAATGTTGAGTCATCACATTCCAATTATATCTCGGTTATAACTACATAAAAAATCTATACAGATGTTTGCCTGAAAATACTCAGTTAAATTGTTTCAGCCACTATACACAATCATTGAAACTATTTATTTATTTACTATTCTTGTTACATTTCTAAAACTAACGATCTAACTACCCTAGACAAAAATTAAACCAATTTTAAATTGATAACTGGATTAAGATAAAACTACTCCATTCTCCACTTCTTCTTCTTTTCCCATAGCAACTTCTACTTCCTGTAGGGCTTTCGTTTTAGCAGAAATAGTACCTATTAGTAACTAATATCAGTTCAGAGTAACTCTAAGTTGCTATTAGTTACTAATAGCTACTATATTTGCCAAATCGAAAGGCCCTATGATTACCGTATTTTTTCATTGTGCATGAAGCTCTTGAACTTAAATACTCTCAGCTGTTGCTGGTTCTTATCTAATATCTAAGTTCTTGCCATAAATTTGTTTTTGTGAATAGCCAAGACACTGGACTCGGGAGTTTTGAAATCCATGAACTTTATACACAATAAAAACATTACATGGCCCTAGAACAATTGATAGCATAAAACGGTAAATGCTATGTATTATCGACGGACCATGTTCCATCATCTGTTTTCGACATAAGTAAATCCGGAGGTAAATTTAAATTGCTTATAAGTACATTTTATCACATAATGTGATTTTACAAAGATTGTTTGTTTTTAATATTGTCTTCCACATACTGCAAATTTATTACCATACCTACTGTTAAATAATAAATACGCAATGTAAAGACAATAATTAAAATTTTAATAAGTTGGTATATTTTTAATTTGATTTTACATTAAGTTAATCCACTCAAACAATTTTTTTTTCGAAGTTCTTGAAAATTAAAATACTTTTAATTCTAAATTGAAGGTTCATTTATAGTTCCACACAAAAACGCCCATATAGTAATACAATTAAAAGAAACAAATACTATTTAAAATTTGTATATTTTACAAGAATTTTTTTAAAATACATATAAAAAATACAATTCCTACAAATCTTCTAACTTGCAAATATCATGCGCTGTTTTCAAATGCTGTTTTATGTACGACTTATCAACAAATGATTTTTCGCAATGGGGGCACCGAAAGGGTCTTTCTCCGTTATGCGATCTAATGTGCTTTTGAAGCTTGTTATTTGCAAAGTACGACTTCGGACAGAGATGACAGAAAAATTTTTTAATTCTCTCAGGAACTTTAACATTTCCGATACCGTGGACCTTTGTCATATGCACGTCTAACGATTTCCTATATTTATAACCTTGCATGCACAAGTTACACTTGAAAGAGATAACGTTCGAATGAGTTTCAATGTGTCTGGTTAATACGGATTTGTTGATACAGCGTCTGTCGCAGAGGTGACAGGCATAATTTTTCTCCCCCGTATGCGTCTTCACGTGAGTATCTAGATTCGTTTTTAATGGAAACCTTCTTTGGCAGTACGAACAGACGTATTTCCACTCGGATCTGTCTAAATGAACACAAATTTTATGTTTATGTAAGTCAGACGAGGTGTTAAAGGCTTTGGGGCATATTTCGCACCGATACGCTCTTTTATTGGCATGTATTTTTTCGTGGTGGTATAAATCGCTTGCCGTTATAAAACCCTTTCCGCAGAAAGAACAGATATGGGACCTGTCGCCCGCATGGTATCTACAAGGAAAAAGGCATTATTTTGAAGAACAAGTCCTGAAAAATAATACCTTTTGTGGGCATTTAAATACACCGAAGACGCAAATGTCCTGTCGCACATGTCACATTTAAACTTTTTTTCTGTGGCATGTACATTCTGGAGGTGGCGTTTCAATAAATACTTGTTACAAAAAGTTGTCCCGCAAAGGGAACACGTGGGAGGAACTTTAAGATCCAGTTCAGAAACGTTGTCATTTATAAAATTTGTACGTTTTGACAATTCCATTTTAGTGTTTTGAGCCTTTCCTGCTTGCGTAACTTCTGCAAAAAAAATATTGGTCATATATATGAAGTATAGTTCATTTTAACTATTACCACTGTTTCTTTTACATATCCTCAAATGTCTTTTTAAAGCGTTTTGATTTGCATACGTTTTCATACAAAATTCACATAAGCAATTTTTTTTTCGCAACATCCTCTTCCTCGTTACATGTGTTTGTGAGATGTGTTTTTTTAATAACACCTTGCTTTTAAATCCTACGTTGCAGTGAAAACATTTAACTTCATCTTCATCGATTAATATTTCTTCCTCAGAACATATATCATTTTGTAATGTAAAACTATCATTATCCGAATCTAATTCGTTTTTTTGACAACCGTTTTCTTCTACCTTTACAATAAGTGTATATTTCCATGACATATAAGAGTTTATACATAACTGTTTAAAATCATGGGCTTTATTTAAACTGTCTCTGCATGCACTGCATATTTTAAAACTTTGTTTCCATTCCTAGAACCACACAACTTAAAACATTTCTGCGACTAAAGACCAAAAAATATTACCACTTCTGGTACACAATTCTTCAGCTTGTATAAAATTTCGTCGCTATCAAAATCATTTTCCACAATATTTATTAAACAATTCTCACGTTTCAAACATATTAAACAAATATCTGTCATATCTGTGATCTGTGATAAGTAAATATAAACTTGTCAAAAATTAATTTCTTCTTCTTCCCTTTTGTGACATTCGTCCTGGGAACATTTAGTCACCTCGGTATTACTACCATATTATTACATTACCATAGTATTACATACTACCAAGGAATTCACAAGCACAATGAGTTTTACATTTTATGGGAGAATCGTCATTTATAGTATTTATGCCTGTTTCCACCGTTTGGTATTTAATTATTTAAGCTCAACTTAATTATCATTCCGTTCCTCCGTCGATTTTAAAGCCAGGCTTAGTTAAGGTTAGATTTTGATAAACTAGGCTTTTTTTCGCGAGTGAATATTGGTGAATACGTCTGACTTGTAGTTACTATTTCTATCTCTTTTAATCTTACTTCTAACCTTGTCTAACCTGAACAGATGGCGAAAATGTATATATTCACTATTCAGTGATATGTAGTATGTACTTTGACGACTTTGACATATGGGTTTTAACTTCTAACCAGTAACCATAATTTGTCATCATTTATTGCTTCCAGTAATCTAGTGTTGTGGGAATTGGTGTTATATCTCACTATATAATATATGTATTTGCTTCAAATAAAACTGAAGGAATATATCAATGCTTTCTTTGGAATATTTTTAAGTGGCAAATTTAAAAAGCGTGAAAAGTANATTTGTTTCAAATAAAACTGAAGGAATATATCAATGCTTTCTTTGGAATATTTTTAAGTGGCAAATTTAAAAAGCGTGAAAAGTATGTAGATTCTGACGTTGCAAGATATGCGAATGTTCGACATAATCGTTATCGTAAGAGAATGGAAGGTTAGGTCGGTTTTTTATGTAATTCATACGAAAAAGACTTGAATTACAAATTATTCCACCAATATTATCTCTGGCCTAGGTCACAAAAAAAAAAAAGGATAATCCTGAAGCAAATATGTCCCATATAAAAAATTAATCTCACCATCAAGTAAAATATTTGCTGTTTCAACGTCTATGTTTACTAAAACATCTGTGCCTCTAAAGTCTAAATTTAAACTGGCCACTTCCACAACCATATCAGAATCCATCATTTTGCTGAACGATTTTTATACTCATTCAAACAAAATGTCAAAATGAAAAAGGTTAAGTTACCAGGGGGGGCTTTCGCTTTGGCAAAAATAGTCACTATTAGCTACAAATATCAGTTCAGAGTAACTCTAAGTTGTTATTAGCTACTAATAGCTACTATTTTTGCCAAATCGAAAGGGCCTCAGCTGACAATACTAGTTGAATATACCAACAGAATATTCAGCTGAAGGGTGAAGAGTTCAGTCATTTGATCTAAACTTGTGACGTCACATAGTAGTTTAAATGACTGACTATTCTCGCAAAAACGTAATATTCACTCATACTACACATACTACAACATACGACTTCACTCGCGAAAAAAAGCCTATTGATTCTTGAACATACCCCATGTTATAATCTAATTAATGGATTTTCCTTATTTCCCGCCTGTTTTATAATTTGATTAATTTGTATACTGTAAAGTCGTCTCGTGTGTAAATTGTGGGTGTTGAAGTTGTGAAATTTTTTTATTTGGACGTACCCTATTTATTTTGCGATTTTCGGATTCTACACATAAAACTACCCCCGGAAACGCGTTTTTGCGGAAACGTCTAAAAACCACCTCTCCGCACCTCCTAGGGTGGAAGGGGTGTTACGTTCGCTATTAGGTCTCCCCGTCTATAGTACGCCCCTCAAATTTCAGATTTTTATTTTTATATTCATTTTTGATGGAGATATGCCCAGGTACCCAAGAACTATAGTCATCGAAAAAACGACAAAGTCCATACGAGGTGGATTTTGGTTTTTGTGCGAATTCGGCAAGAACGCATTTCCGGGGGTAGTTTTACAAGTAGAATCCGAAAATCGCAAAATAAATAGGGTCCGTCCAAAAAAAAAAACACCCCTCACCCCCTCGGGTGGAAGGGGCGAGTCGAAATTAAGTGCATTTTTGACCGAGATATGCCAGGTACCCAAGAGCTATAGTCCAACCAGCCTCATATATGTCAATGCATTTTGTACACATGATTGTTGATCAATTGGTTTGCCTTGATTTTAAATATTGTATTGACAATCAGGCTTACTTCTACTTATCATGTGTATGTATGCTTAACAGTTTCACTTTTATAGGATTTGCCAACACAAAATGTAAATTCTGAACTTCCAGTGGATGCAGAATAAACAATTCAGGTAAATAATTATTGTACTCTGTAATTTTATCATTATTTTACATTCAATATCTCCTTTTTTAGGACCAAAGTAACATCCTTGTTTATACTCACGCCAGTAACAGTCTTACTGACACGAGTACAACTTGGAAGAAATATACAGGAGCAACTCACTACACACTACACTACAGGAGTAATTTTTTTTATTTAATTCTCATTACAAGAAACAAATTTAGAAATTGTTTCTTGTAGTCTGCAATAGGATTACACTTATTACAGATGTTAAGTTTTTATTATCTTTTACAGACCGAATTACCATCACAGAAAAAACGAAAAATGGATAGTAGTCGACGCCGTCCAACAACTACAGTAAAGGCTTTGACCTCATCAGACATTGCCGAGAAGTATAATAAACTTTTGGATAAACAATTGGTAACAGCCGAATACCAAAAGACACTGTTAGAAAATCAAATAAATAATGTTAATGAACGCATTTTTAAAGAACAACAATATACCAACAATTTTGATGCCTTTTAAATAAGTCTATTTTGAACGGTTAATAAAAGTTGGTTTTTTACATTACATTTTATTATATTTATCCAACAACTAATGTGTCATCCCCTACAAACTTAAGAGGAGGTATAACTAGATTAGTAGGGGCTGGACCTTTTCTAATTCTCCCAGCTGCATCATAGTGCGAACCATGACAAGGGCAGTAGTATCCACCAGGTCCGTAATCCCCTGCGTCTGCAATAGGCACACATCCTAAGTGTGTACAAACTCCGATAACAATTAGCCACGAGGGATTTTCACAACGTTTCGAATCTTCTTCAGGATCCCTTAAAGTGTTTACCGGTACCGACCGTGCGATCGCTATTTCTTCTGCTGTTCTATGACGAATAAACAACGGCTTACCCCTCCATTTAAATGTGGCAGATTTTCCCTCTGGTATATCAGACAACTTGATTTCTATCTGTGCTAGGGCTAAAACGTCAGCCGAAGCACTCATGTATGTTACAAGTCTAAAGATTAAGTAAATTTAATAGATAATGTAAGCTTTTAAAGCACTTACCTTGTAACTTCCGATTTGAGGCTGTACAGTGCTAGGGTCGCTGTAGTTCCAGAAATCATATATGTAAATATTTTCCTGGATTCTTCAGAACAAGAGGTGGGAACATCTGGAGATTTAACACTGTCTTTTCTGTATTTCGTGTAATCAGGAACCTTTATATCTGTATGAGCAGCGCAAATATGCTTGTTAATTAAATTTGGAAGCGAGCTGTTTAGTTTATTTCTTAATCTGCCATGAATGTAAGTATCAAATAAGTTTCTGAATAGTACAGCATTTCTCTCCAGCATATTAAACTATTTTCGGTTTTAATAAAGGTCAAATTGACAAATTAACCGACATTTTATTGAACTTAAATACTTCATAATCAACACGAAATTGTTTTATAAGCCAACCCAGAAGATTTGTGAAGCTATTGAAATTTTATTGATTTTTTCCCTCAGCAGTTGACAATGTTGACATTGACAATAAGCTTTATTTCGCGACCGAATATTGGTGATGGTGAATATCTGACTTGTAGTTACTATTTCTATCTCTTTTGATCTTAGTTGTCCTATGGTAGTTTAAATCTCTCCACTCACTCATACTGCACATACCATAACATACGAGTTCACTCGCGAAAAAATGCCTTTTGTCACCTAACGATTTTATATTGCAATCTACACAAAATTAAATTCTGATGTTTAAATTTTGGTATTGGTTCATTGCCGGCCAAACATTTCAATGTTGCCGTCGGAAAACGAATATTTGTCTCTGGGCGTTCAGAGATAATACTATGCCTAGATTATTATCAGTTAATTTTCGTAAAAAAAACTAATCTGACTTAACACATCGTTTAAATTTCTTTTATTGAGAATAAAAGCGCATATATAGCGGGCCTCAAAGTGGATTGGCCGTCTCTAGACGCTATTCTTGGACGTTTTCCTAATTTGCAGCTGCTTGTCTACTCGCACTGTCCATCAAATAGCGATTTCCATTGGGGAAAACTGGGACTGCACTCCAGGGCCCGAGAACTTATACTTGAAAAAATGGGGAAACTCTGAGAACCACGTGACTTGAGATGGATATACAAGTTGGGGAAAGAGTCTATAGATGTCGCCACAAAGATTTTGTAGAATAAATTTTGACAATTGCAATTATGAATCATTTCATGTCATTCTTGTTCATGTATATTGTTTATTGTTGGTTAGGTTTGGCGAGTGTTGGTGTGTGTTTTATTAGTGTTTTTAGTGTGTTTTATTAGATATTTCATTCACATTTATTTATATAACATAATAATGTCTGATCATCATATAATCACATTTTTTTATTAATAATAAAATGTTTTTTTGTTTTTTTTTTTAATAAAAAAATGTGATTAGAGGTAGGTAGTTTTTTTATGGATATCAACACAACGAAAAATTTAAAGTTGCATAATAAATCTCTATTACAAGAATTAATCAAAGATTGGTTTAGTAAAATTATTTACTTGTAATATTTTTTTATTCACCGTGAAAGCTAATACAATATAGAAAGCACTGAAACTCTATAGTCATTTTCACTCTTTTTTTTTTTCAAAATATGTACTGAAATTTGAAATTTTTTCAACAAACATTTTAAAAAGTTACAGTATCAAAATTATTTATTTTAAGTAGGAAGACTATTAGAGCATTTAAAAGTGTCTTTAATGCTTGAGTGATTTTAATGCTTTTTATCAAATGTACTTATTTTCTCATGGTGACAAAAAAAATATCTACGTGAAAATTATTTTACAAAATCAATTTCTGAGTGATCTGTGTAGGGTGAGATTTGTTATGTAATTTTAAATTTAGCGGCGGCAGAATACCTAAAACAAATATTGAGTAGGTAGGTATATAGTTGTAGAGCGTACAACTAGATGGCGCTTGCATCTTTTACTGGCTAAAGGTAATTTAACTCACTGTATTACCGATAATTCTTAGAAAAGGAAAGCAATAGAAGTTGGAGAAAGTGTCAACAGTTAGCGCTGTTAATGACCACGAAATCTGTTCAAGTTTAATATCTATAGTATCATTTATCTAGGCTGCACTCGGGCAGCACTGACACTCCACTGGTTGAATGAGAAATATGGTTTGGTGCAATCTCAATGGAATGACAATTTTTGCGTGGGTTTCTGACATTATAGGTTGTGTTTATGTTTTGATTTTTATTCAGTCAAAGTAACAGTTGACCAGTTGAAGTTTTTCAAAGAAGGTAATTACCATGAACCAAGAATTAAATTTGAAATTTAAAATAAACCACGAGGAAGTTCCTTTGTGTTTCCTGTAGACGAAACGGTTCACTTATTTAAGTTTGTAGATGACATTTTCAATGAATCCATCCACTTTTTTCAGTTGTTTGCGTATAACTGGTATAACATACATTTCATCATTATCACTACTACTTGATAAAAACGGTAATAATGGAACTTTGTCCATATTTACCGCCATTTTCTTGCAATGACACCGGCACCAGCTTCAAGACCTCGTGCGAAATAATATGCACTCAGAGCAAGAACTGTCGTTCTAGTTGTCCAATGGAATTTGAAAATTTGCACCGACTTGACCAATGGAACGTCAATGGTGCACTCAGTGTGCACCAGTTTTCTCAATGGAAATCGCTAAAAGTTAAAGACCGTTGCGCGATTTTTTTTCTGATTTCATGATGTTCCGTTATTGTTTTGCGCTGTGCTGTATTATAAAGTGACAGTTGAAGGTTAAATTTCTTAAGAAGTGTACATCACAATAAGCAATCTATAACAATTAAACTCTCATTAATTTAAAATACAAATTACAAAACACATAGTCCAATATGTGAGCAAATTTAAATTTACTTAATAGACGTTATAATTGAACAATTAACCTCTAAAATAATTGAAGGGTAAATTGCTATGGCATGCTAGTTTATTTTTAGTAATTTTTTTAGACATTCTTAAATTTTGCAGTGTAATAAAAAGGAAAGTAATGGCTAAGGAGGAAGAGTATGATAAATTGCCTGATAAGGACGCTGCCAAAGAATTTTATGCAAAATACGAACCCAAAGAAATTTTGGGAAGGTAATGAAACAAAATATTTCGAGAAAATAGGTACCCTAATATAACCTAATTTTAAATTTTGCAGAGGTATATCTTCCACAGTAAGACGATGCATTGAAAAAGAGACTGGAAAAGAGTTTGCGGCAAAGATTATAGATTTAAGCAGTGATGGAGTAAACGACGGCTCAAATCTAGAATCCACGAAGCAAGAAGTTGACATATTACGTCATGTGGCTGGACATCCGTATATCAGTAAGTGTTAGCATTTTTTCTTTGTAAATATACTTACTATGAGAATTTTATATAGTTGAACTACAAGATGTCTTTGAATCGAGTACGTTTATTTTCCTGGTTTTTGAGCTTTGTAAAAATGGAGAACTCTTTGATTATTTAACGACTGTGGTAACTTTATCCGAAAAAAAGACAAGATATATTATGAGACAGGTATTAGAGGGGGTAGAACACATACATTCAAGGAATGTCGTTCACAGGGACCTCAAGCCCGAGAATATTCTTTTAGATGACAATTTAAATGTAAAAATTACCGATTTTGGTTTTGCTAAACTTTTGAATGGAGAAGAGCGATTGCATGGTAAGTGTTTTTTTTTCTTTCACTTGAAAGGATAGGTATAAAAGTATAAAATATTGAGAATATTCTTTTTAGATTTGTGCGGAACTCCCGGTTATTTGGCACCGGAGACTCTAAGATGTAATATGATAGAGGATGCGCCTGGGTACTCTTTCGAAGTGGATATGTAGGTTCGAAAATTTTGGGAATGAAATGCTATTTTTATTAAAACATATTTTTTGTTACAGATGGGCGTGCGGTGTAATAATGTATACATTGTAAGTATAAGGTTGCAAGGAAATTATAGGTGCTTCAGTATTTCGTTAAAATTAACACGAAATTTTATTTTTCAGGTTAGTTGGGTGCCCCCCATTCTGGCATAGAAAACAAATGGTCATGTTGAGGAATATTATGGAAGGAAAGTTCTCGTTTTCTTCACCCGAGTGGGCTGATATTTCAGGTACACTTTTTCTCTTTTTTCGATTTCGAAAGACGATTAATATGTAACGCGTAATACAAATTTTAAGGCGATTAAATCAAAGGACGGTGTGACGTAAAATCTTTGCTTTCGTTGCAGAACCCCCAAAAGATTTAATCCGGAAACTTCTAGTCGTAGATCCTAAGCAGCGAATCTCAATTAAGGACGCTTTAAAACACCCGTTCTTCCAGACTGTGGTAAGTGCAACGATCCTATCCATTTGTGACTTACAACTAAATAATAAATTACCCTCTGTTGTTCATAAAAATGTGTGTGTCGAGAAGTTTTATTGTGTCTGTTACCTCGAGTTGTGCAGCAAAAACATATTAGCTAGATGCCATTAGGAGGGCAATTAATAATATTTTTTGTTTTGTATCCATACACATCTCGTAGTAAAAGCGATAATGATCGAGTTTTACAGAGCATAAAAATAGTCTATAACTGATGAATCTTTTTCTTTTGTGTTAAAAGCTATTATTTGTTGATAAATACAAACACAATTTCTTTAACGTCAGACATATTTTCCACCAGGCTGAATATTTAATATTTTGCTCAAATTCGACTAAAGGTGTTACTCGAAGTGCCAGCAAATCTTTTTCGAGAATCGTGGCCACGTTATATTGCTAGAAATAACACCAAATTTTAATAATATTTCGAGTCTTAAGAAATTGGGGACGATGGAACTGGTTCAAATTAATTGGCCAATTTTGGGGATTTTTGGTGCCCCAATGTTGAAGAAATTGTTACAATTCGCGTCCAGTCATTATAGATATGAAACGGTCTGTTTCGGGAAAAAAATACTATTAGAAGTTTCTCTGCCGAATATTGTTCGGAAACGTGTTATAAACAAAATATCAAAAAATCAACTCGAGACAAGTTGGGAAACTTTATTTAAACAATGGTCAAAGTTATGGAAAAGTGGTTCTTTGACTCACGTAAAAAAACTGTTATTCATAGCGAAAAAAGGTTTATAAAAAAAAGGTAGGTATTAAATAAACCTGTAAAATGAGACAAGTCCGATAATTTGTTTATGTGCGAGAGCTCTAAGATGGTTGAAAATGGGCGTTTTTTCAATTGCTAATAATTAATGCGATTTTTATCGCAGATACTTGTAATTCAGGATTTTCGAAGCTCTTTGCACCCTTGATAAGTGGTAAAAATTTCAGCCCGAAAGCTTCATTAGTTTGGCGTTGGCGGAATTTGTTATCTAAAAAGATACTGTTTTCATTTCATTTTTCCCAAGTTCACAAGTGTAGTAGAGTTTCAATCATTAGTTGCTTTTGTACCTATTGACATATGCATTTACTGAAAATTTAATTTTTCGAATTTAATTTGTTTAAAAATGACTGAAAAAATTTTAATATTTACTAAATTGTTAAGATAGGTAATTATTATAAAATGAAATAGTAACATCTATAGTTCAGTTAGTACCATTTTTCTTCGAATTAAAAAAAAAATGAGAAAATGTTTTATTATTTTTATTTAATTGCTGTTACGTTAATTATTAATATTAAGAGCCGAAATTTGGAGACAGTATACATTAAGAGCTATATTTTCATGTCCTACATTAACATTAAGATGAATTCAACTATTTGAAGCTTTAAAGCTATTGAATTAACGAAATTAACATTCTTTCAATCCGAAATTAAAAAAAGAATCATCTCGATATGTTCATTATTAACCGAGAGAGATATGGCTAATTTTTCCAGCTCCATCGATCTCCCTCGCTCTCCCCACTCGTTCGCTAGATCGAGTAATAGAACACCGTTATCTTCTTTTTCGCAATTAAATAGTTGAATTCATCTTAATGTTACGCGAGTCAAAAAACCGCTTTTGCATAACTTTGACCATTGTTTAAATAAAGTTTCCCATCTAGTCTCGAGTTGATTTTTTGATATTTTGTTTATAACACGTTTCCGAACAATATTCCCCAGATAAACTTATAGTAGTATTTTTTCCCAAAAAAGAGCTACTTATAATGACTAGACTATAAAGATGCAGTAAATTAGGCAATTTATTCGTCACGTCAAAGGTTGTCTATCAACTTTTACACTTTCAGTTTTGATTAAAAACATTAAATATTTATAAGGTTTTTTAGAAGGATCTGTTCGGATTATTTCAAATGACTTTTCTATTACATATTTTTAAAACTTCGAAAAAAATGTTACTTGTAAAGTGTGCTTATTTTGTTGAGTTCGACGCCCTGTTAAAATAGGTATTATTTAATGGGATGTTGAATAAGTTTTCGCTGTTTTCCAAGAGATGGAGTTACCAGAATTGCAAGCGTGTAGTTTAAGATGGTAACGCATCTGCATATACAGGGTGTTTATTAAACATACAACAAAAATTCAATTCCCTGGACTATCCTAAGAATATTTTGTCCTCTGATGATTTTTGAAAGGCCACTTTGTTCCGATGATACAGGGCCAGAAAAATTTTTGACAATAGCAACATTTTATTATCAAAAATTACATGTAAAGTTTCTTAATGTACAAGAACTGTTGAAAATGACTACCTCCGGTCCAATTAGTCAGTCACCCATGATTCCAACCCAAACGTTCAACGAGAAGTGATGTTGAAATCGATCTTCAAGTACCTCGTGTGGTTATTGTGAAAATTCCTTACCTATTGTATTTCTTGAGACATTCGCTTCATCGGTAAAAAGAATCAGCATCAGTAGTCGAGGGATATGAAACAATGTGTGCAAAAGCCACCGACAGCAGCAGGAAGAAGTGCCTGAACGCGTTGTATGTGGTATGGGTACATAAATAATTTTAAAATATCAAAATTGGTTTTATCGAAAAAATTGTCTATTATCTCGAAAACTTCCATCTTGAAGGTCATATGTTTTTGACATATTTGTACTCAGAAAAATGTGCTCTATCGAAATCCGTGGAAAAAAATATGAAAAAAGTGACATTTTATAAACATTCCGAGGATTTCCTGTCAAAACCTTTCAATAACGATTTATCGAATTTATTCCAAACTTTACGAGGTCAGTGTATATCAAATAATTAAAAATCGAAATTGGTCAATAAATTAGAACCAGATATTGTCTCTAATATCGTGGCCAATTTATTCAAACTAGAAAATTTACCACAATTTTGACCATTAATTTTTTTTAACAGTTTATTGTTTTAAAAATTGGTAAATATAAAACAGGTTTCAGGCTATAAAAACAGGTCTGTAGCAGTAAAAAACAGGTTTCAGGCTATAAAAACTAATAAAAAGTGACTACAACATTAAGTGACTGTAATTTTTTGTAAATAATACCTATAACAAATAAAAAATCTGCATAGATCTGAACGGAAATCGTTGCTTTGCGCTGAAGTTGTTGTATAACAATAACTGTTGTATTCTTTGTTGTGTGTAATAAATAATTGACGTGGTAACCCGCCACACTGCATCGACTATTTAATACCATTTCAGCAATTGTGGGATCAAGACATTGGCTCGCTGAAACGTTCTTTAGGAAGAAGCAGCAGACGGTTTAGCCGCATTTCAGAACTCGCTCTGGTAATGATGTTTTGAGGAAAATAACACTTTTGGGGCGCTTCGTGTTTTGTTTTCTCACTATCTACTAACATAAACAATGTAGCATCCGACTTATTACACTTTAGCGTTCGATATGTATAATAATGCTGATTTACCGTTTGAACAATCTAGTTAGAAAATCGATACAATTGAATAATCTATAAAATAAAAGTACGATGACCGCCAATTAATTCTCTCGTCGCTTTTGTATTGCTTGAAGTTACGAAAAAAAAAAAATTATTTTAGTGCTTTTGAAGAGGAAATCAATTTATTATTTTAAGAAAAATGTCTGTTAGTCAATGTCTAGACCACACTAGCAGTATTTATTAAATAACTGGGATGAGAGACATAACAGTGCTACATCTAGTTTGTAAGAGAGGAAGTCGTGCTTTGAAGTACCTGCAAAATTGCAGGTCGCTCTCTGCCAGTAAGGCTGTGTTGAGGACTGAGGTATTAAGTAGCAGCGATCATTGGTCCGAAATCGAAATGTTGGACTGATGAATGGTCCTGGTTGTTTACTGGATATTGTTGGTATAATTCAGTGCTAGTAGAGACATTTAATGTAGCCCATAGAATCAAGTACAGGACCTTCATAAATGATTACAAGCCACGTGACCAGTAATTTTATTTTCTTCTCGTTGACAATTAAACTTCAGTAAAACCAAAAATTATTAATACAGTTTAGATCAGGTTTCATCGCTTGTGGTTGGTGTAATTTTTAATGAAATCCTATTTAACCAGTCTAGTCCAGTCGGTTAGAGATGGGCAATACGGATCTTTTTAATGATCCGCATGATGCGAAATGTATCAACATAAAGATCCGTAGCGCAAGAAAATGTAAAAAAAATTAAAATAGGCGCATTTTTCTCCCTTCTTTCATGTATAACTCGGAGAATATTGACAGAGAAAATAGTCAAAGGAAAAAGAGTTTCGTTTTGAGATTCTCTTCAAAATAAAAGTGGTCTGAAATTTTTATGTGCATTATTGTTGCTACAATACGGTACAGACCGAAAAAAAATTCGGGAAAAAAGATGTTTTTTTCATGAATTTATTTCGAACCTTGACTTTAGAGCAGGCATATAAAAAGTATAGTTCTGGGAACTTCACGATGTGGTAGTATTGCAGAAATTTTTTCAGCGAAATCAGCCAGGTAGATTTCACACAATTCAATTGTTAAATAAGAAAATACAGAATTATTCTTATATTTCAATTCTTTCTCAGGGTAAAACCAATGTTATTTTGAGCTCCCAATTTTTATACATACCCTTTAGAGTCTCAACTATCAATGCCCACTTAAAAATTTTCGTTTATTTATCCATTTTAGCAACAATTAGAATTTTTTCAAAATTTTTTCGGAAAAAAAATACTTATAAACATTTAGAGCTGGAGCTACCGTATTTGTGAATTCTTCAGATCTAGTTATAGGATCAAATAGAGGAAAGATTGACAAAAATTGATGAATTGTCATCGGAATATGAAAGCAAAGACTGTATAACTATGAAAATTTGTTTAAATCGGAAATGTATTTTAACTGTTCTGATGCAAAAAAGATCGATACATTTCACAGGAATCAAGCAGAGAGTCAAAGAGTGTGGAGTGGGGGGACTGTGCGAGCGGAGCAGCATAATTCATTGGCGCAACTTCAATCAGCTTCTACAAAAGATAAATAGATGATTTTTTTTTAATCGATAGAGGAAAGCAAGATCAATTCGAATTTTACGATTAAAAAAAAAATCTTTCAATATAAATTTATATGCAAAACAAGGAAGAATAAAGTAGATAATATATGGTAATAATGTATAGAAAATCCAGCTACGAAAACATTTAATATTTCACAATGAAAATAGACTTGTTGAAATAAAGGGAAATTTACTACTTATGGAAAGTAGAAAAATATAATAGCATTTTCTTGCATTATAGTCATATTTACCTTTACATCACGAATACACTCCTGCAGCAATTTAAATCTCAAGAAGTAACGAATACAAACTATTGTCAAGATCATTTTACAACAAAATAATAGCGACTAGATTCGTTATCTGTTGTAGAAGCTGACAAAAAATTGATTGAAATTGCGCGAGTGAATTATGCTGCTCCGCTCGCACAGTCCCCCCACTCCACACTCTCTGCTCGATTCCTGTGAAATGTATTAATATTTTTTTTGCATCAGAACAGTTACAATACATTTCCGATTTAAACAAATTTTCATAGTTATAAAGTCTTTGCTTCAAACAATCAAAATCACTTTTGATTGTTATTGTACAGTACGTTGTTTTGCCGTAAACTCACTTCAACTTTGAGCTTTCATATCTCGGTGACGATTCATCGTATCCACAAGATCAAAAGTGGCTTTTGTTCGTCAATCCTTCCTCTATTTGATCCTATAATTACATTTGAAGAATATGCAAATACGGTAGCTCCAGCTTTAAATGTTTATAAGTATTTTTTCGAAGAAATTTTGAAAAAATTATATTTGTTGCTAAAATGGATAAAATTGAAAATTTTTAAATGGGGATTGATAGTTGAGTCTCCAAAGGATATGTATAAAAATTGGGAGCTCAAAATAATCATTGGTTTTACCGTGAGAGAGAATTGAAAAATAAGTATAATTCTATATTTTCTTAATTAACAATTGAATTGTGTGAAATCTACCCTTCCGATTTCGATAAAAAAATTTCTGCAATACTACCATATCATGACGTACTCAGAACCATACATTTTATATGGCTGCTGTAAAGTCAAGGTCCGAAATAAATTCATGAAAAAAACATCTTTTTTCACAAATTTTTTTTGCAGCAACATACAGCAATGCACATAAAAATTTAAAACCACTTTCATTTTGAAGAGAATCTCAAAACGAAACTTTTTTTCCTTTGACTATTTCCTCTAATGTCAATATTCTTCGAGTTATACATGAAAGAAGGGAGAAAAATGCGCCTTTTTAATTTTTTTTTTACATTTTCTTGCGCTAACAATTATGCACAATTTGTTCAGCGGGCACATATCTCAATTATCATTTTACATAATATTTAGAATTATTTCCAACAAAAATTAGCGTTACTATATAACACATCCATCCTGAAAGTTACCGACTGGACTAATCAGTTATCGCATTATCTCGAGCGTAGACGTAGAGTTTGTCATTATTCATTGTAAACGAATCATTAATACTGGTGACGCCAAGATTTAGGAATTTTTCGTCACTAGTACCAGCACTGCAAGGTTGGCTGCTTTGAAATCATTTATGAACGCTTTGTTTTGTATATCTAGAATTCCGTTATCAAAAAACATTGTTTGGCTCCATTTGATGAGATTTAAAAAAAAATTGTCTAGTTTGATTTAATTTAATACCTTGACTAGAGTAAAAATATATAAAAGAAGTTTAATTCCTCTTAAAAAATACTAAATTATAAAAAAAAATAAGTAAGATAATAGATGCAGCCGAATTATTTGGCTGATCGGAGTTGTACAAACTTTTTATATTAATTCCACATGCTTGCTACATTTTCTTTTAGCGATTTCACAAAACATTGTTGGATGCTTATTTTTATTCGAAGTTTTACCTTTTATCTCACCCTACCCCAAAGCGTTCGCCAAATTCACGCCTATATCACAACGAATTCTTATTTTACTTTCAGAAACTCCAGCAAAGAGAGTTTAATGCAAAGCGTAAGTTCCAGTGGGCCATCTTGGTCATAAGGGCCATGATCAGAATACAACGACTCCGTTATACGCCGGAACCGTTGAGTTTGGACACGGCCAGGTCGGACCCGTACCGGTTGAAGCTCATAAGAAAGGTAAAATATTTAAACGCGTCGATTTCGGCATTAACTCCTTTTGATTCCAGATTGTGGACGGGTGCGCGTTCCGCGTATACGGCCATTGGGTGAAGAAGGGCGAGGGTCAGAACCGTGCAGCTTTATTCGAGAACACACAAAAAACGGAGTTGAAGCATATATATGTGACAAATCTGAGTAGATAATCATTGTTCTTATCTAGAAAATTTAATTTTAGATTAAATCCGTTTTAACAAGTCCCTTTGTTAAAATATTAGCGTAATTTCTTTTAACGTTTTAGTAGAAACGCAATAATGTAGTTTTTATAGGTTTATATTTATTGTGATAATTTTTTTTTCCTAATAGCTCCCATGTTTTAAAAATTGATGTTTTCGTTTTGTACGGGGCTGTTCCTTATGTAACGTATTTATTGACTGTTTAATGTCAGACTAGAATAAAGTGTACATAACTAGGTTGTTTTTTTTATTCAATAAATAACAGATACAGTCCGTACAATATTAGTCGAGATAAAATTCTAAGAATTACTGTAACGATTTACCGTCCCTTGAATTTTCTGCCAACGTCTTGCTGCCTTGGGTGTTGAATGCGATTAATTACAAGAAAGTTATGCAGGGGTCTTGGAATTCTATCTCGGCGAATAGTGTACGGACTGTATAATCCAATCAATAGGTAGAAGAGCTTACAAAAAATATCACCTGGAAACAAAAAATATGGTGATATAGGAAAAAAAATTCTAACTGTTTGTGGAGAATAAACGGCGAAGTTAACCTAAAAAATTCGTAAGAAAAAAACGGTTTCTCGCTAATAAAAAAAAAACTTGAACTCCAATCGAAAAAAGTTAAATGAGAAAGTTGTAGCTATATCGATTCGTATTTTTACATATATCGATTGCTATGTTACTTTTCAAGATATATCGAAAAAGCCGTCAAAAATCAACTTTTTTTGTTTTTGCTGTATCTCTTGCAAATTAATTGCTCGACAAGTAGCCGTAGAGAAACGAATCAGGGCAATTTTTTTCCTTAAGAGTTGTACTTTCATGTTAACAAAGAGTGATAACTATTTTATTCATTTCAAGTGTTCAAATGACGTTGAAAAAAGTAAACATTTTTTGGTCGCGTTTTTCTTGAATATCTTTTTCGATTTTCATTGCTCGATAATGTCTATTACAGGAATTGATTGCTGGCACTTTTAAGCAAATTTAAAAAAAACGTTGCTCTACGATCTTCTGGAGCCGATATTTTTTTTTTTTCAAAAAATTCCACAGACCGCAATTTAAGTGCTACAACGTCCATTCCTGATTGAAGTTGAAGTGTTGAAGACATACTTATTCGAAGAAGAAGAAGAGGAGATCTGGAATAACGTGTTCACTGTTCTCAGAGGGCATTTCGGTTTGGCAACAATAGTAGCTAATAGCAACTTAGAGCTACTCTGAACTGATATTAGTTGCCAATAGGTACTATTATTGCCAAAACGAAAGCCCCCCAGTTCTTGCTTTTTATCATCTTCAGCTTATGGACTATGGTTAGGCAAGAAAAAAGAGGTTATGTGTTATGCTATGATGATGTCGATTGTCGACGAAAAAGAAGTGTTGTTTAAGATTTATGCTTTTATGGAAAAATAAAGTTTTAGAGAAAAATATAGTGTGCCTTCCTGAGACAGCCACTTGTAGGCTCCCTACACCTTTGAAAAATGTAATTTTCTAAAATTCTCACCTCTTGTTAACATTTCAATAATTATTTAATAATTGTTTATGAAATAAAGTAAGTACAACGTTTTATGGTAATTATATCTTTTTAGTATAAAACGTTTCAAGACTTTCCATAATATTTTAAGATCATTCAAAATGCTCAAAACTTGCATGTTGTAAACACAAAATAATTAATATAGACGTAATAAATAATAATAATAAAGTAACAAAGCAATTAAAAGATCAAATTAATTGTGTCAAATGTGTAACTCGCATAATTTCAGTGTAAAAATAGTTAAAATGTAATAAAACCCGAAGGAATGTAAGTGTTATAATTTTGTTTGTTAACTAAAATGTTAACAAGAGATGAGAGAATTTTGGACTAAAGGAAAATTACATTTTTCAAAGGTAATTATGCTTTTGAGGCCATCGTAAACGTCATATTTTGGTTTATCTCGTTAAGCTTTAGTACAAAAGGATTTGTGTACGTGGTCCAGAAGTCAAGATAATGAAGATTTTGAACATAAGAGCGCTTTCGAACGCGCGAATTCAATTTTCGGAGCGGCCGAGTAGTTGCCCTCACTCCGGCGCCCGCTACAGTTAGCTGGTACCACGCTCGAATGCTTCGGTTTGACGCAAAATTAAAAATGCAGAAGTGGCTAAAATGAAGCACAGTATTTTTTTATTGAAAATATAAGTCTTCAACTTCAATCTTTGTAAGAATGGACGCTGTAGCACTTACAAAGCGGCCTGTAGAATTTTTTGAAAAAAGAATCTCGGCTCCAGAAGGTCGTAGAGCAACGTTTTTTTTTTCAAATTCGCGTAAAAATGCCAGCAATCGATTCCTGTAATAGACATTATCGAGAAATGAAAATCGAAAAAGATATTCAAGAAAAACGCAACCAAAAAATGTACTTTTTTCAGTCATTTTTGGTCACTTGAAATTAATAAAGATGTAATGAAGCATTATTATTTTCCGATTTTTGTAAGGCCGCTGGCCAGTTATTTATTTAATTAGTTTAATTGGGTGAGAGCAATTAACCGCGAGTCGAGCCGAAACCGCCCGCTGCCCCACTCTGTCGAGGGCCGCGCGCATAGTCCCACCACGACTCCTGCCTAGTCAAGAGGGGATTGGGACAATAAAACCACCGTTCCTGCACGAAGATCCTCAGTTCGCTGCCAGAACTCGAAGAGCTCCAGTTCCAACACCAGCCCGAGGACCACCCCGAAGACCTGAAGACCGACCAGAGACCGCCACCCGACCCAAGGAGTTAGCCGCCAGAAGCAACCGTCCGGAATAAGTAAGCAAATTGTATTTTCCTATTCTCACTTGTCCTGCTATGGTACAAGTCTGGCCGTTTTGAACTCTGGCAAGACAGTACGACCACGGCGTTGTCGGCGAAGGTTTGGCTGGGTCACCCACCGCCCTCGTTCGACGAACGTTGTTAGTCACATCGACCGAACTGCTGGTTTGGCTGGGCCACCCACCGCCAGTGGAAGACGTTGAGTGCAGGTCCGTACGGCAGCAGCGTTATCGGCGACGGTTTGGCTGGGTCACCCACCGCCCTCGTTCGACAAACGTTGTGAGCCCCTTTACTGACACTGCTGGTTTGGCTGGGCCACCCACCGCCAGTAGAAGACGTGAAGGTGTCGAAGTGTACAGCAGCAGCGTTGTCGGCGAAGGTTTGGCTGGGCCACCCACCGCCCAAGCTAGATAAACGCTGTAGGGCACAATAACCGAAACTGCTGGTTTGGCTGGGCCACCCACCGCCAGTAGAAGACGTTGTGTGTCGGCTGTGCAACGACGGATAGACCCCCGAAGTTTGGCTGGGCCACCCACCGCTTCCGGGAGAAGTCTGTCGGCCGCCCCGCATTTGAACTCGCACCTCGTCCAGACTTTGCCTCCTGTTTACCAACAACATCATTTTCCTGATTACCGTTTGCTTATTTGTGCCTGATCTAAACCGCTTTGCTTGGCTTTTTCTCCTGGCTGGTCGCATTTCCGCTTAATTTCCGTCGCTTTGCTAGAAACTGCCGCCGATATTTATTTGTAGAATTAGAGTCACCCGTAATTATTTTTCTGTTTCAGAACCATTGGGAACAATTTATTTATTGCTCTAATTTATTAATCTTATTTTTCCCTTTCTAGCACCGACCGAAATTTAAAACCGAATATTATTCTGGCGTACCGTTTCGTAAAGTCTTAGATTGTTTATTAAATAAACCAAACGCCAAAGACTCCGTTTTCTACCGTACCGATTTTGTGTCCTGATCTTTTGACTAATTTGTATTTATTTACAGCTCCGAAAAACCGTATCGGCATTTTAAATCCGTCGTACAAATAATAATTGCTCTAACCAATTTTGTTATTCTTACACCGCTTGTAAAGTATTTTTACATTCCTGAATTTTAGTTAGTTATTTATTAATTGTAATTAGAATCTATTTTACTTTTGTTTGTTTGTTTCAATAGGCCTTGTTAATATAAAATAAACCTAGTAAATATAATTCCCGTTTGTATTCATTCTTAACGCCGACAAAGTTGATAAAATTCCGATCAGTAAAAAAGAGGTCCGCTTATCTTTTTGTGACCTACACTGATAAGACCGTTTATTTTGAAAGGAAAATAACACTACACTCAGAGAACTACTTTGCTTGAAATTAAGAGAAATATAACAGACCCCTGGAATTAAACTTTCTTCACTGCAGCTATCCCGAGTACTTACTCTAAACCGAGGGTAGGTTTCACGTGGAGTTTCCCCCACGTAACCGATTGGGAAACTGGCGCCCGAGACAATCCGCACAAAAAGATTTAATCCGGAGTACGTTTCTGTGACGTCACTCACCACCGCCGGCTGCCGACCACCGCCGCCGATAAACTAGTAGTCAAGGGTCGTCATAAAGTAGGCGTCCAGATAGGGACGTCAGTGACGTCAATAAATCTAGTAAATTAAAATTTGCACTTATGAATTAAGATTCCGTTTAGAGTTGGTAGTATACCGGGGGCAGCCACAAGTAACGTCTGAACCGAACCGTCACCACCGCAAATTCAAAACCAAGTAAAATATATAAAGGGTGTTACAAAAATTTGGCAACCGAGCAAAGTACGTTACAAAATCATTATCACTGATTTTTACCATGAAAGTACAACTGTTAAGGAAAAAAATTGGACCTGATTCGATTCTCTACGACTATTCGTCGAGCAAGAAGAGCCGATTTTCGAGATGAACTTTTTTTCAAAAAATCGATCTCGAAAATTTTTTTATGAATTTTTTAATTAAAAAAAGGTATTTTTTTTTGCTTGCCGAGGGCTACATTTATAGCAAGTAACGAGTTACAAAACCTTAATTTGCAAGAGATACAGCAAAAACAAAAAAAAAATCGATTTTTGACGGTTTTTTCGATATATCTCGAAAAGTAATAAGCAATCAATATATTTAAAAATACGAATCGATAGGTTTTTTTATAGCTACAACTTTCTCATAACTTTTTTCGATTGGAGTTCAATTTTTTTTTATTAGCAAAAAACCGTTTAATTTGACTTACGAATTTTTTAGGTTAACTTCGCCGTTTATGCGCCACAGGAAAAAACACAATCTTTTTTAGAATTTTTTTCCATATATCATCATATTTTTTATTTGAATTAATTGGACTAGTAGCTTCTATTTCTCCTAACACCTTTTTAAATTAAAAAAAAAAGTACTAACCTGATACTGCTGTAGTCTCCAAGAAAAAAGCTTCAGTCTTTTGCCACAGACATAAAATGGGATAACTGAACAATAAAAGACACTTGTAACAATGAAACGTTTCACGAGTGCATGCAAAGGCTGAATATATTGGAACACTATGCGAAATAAACGGCACATTACAATTTCCAGGCAAAACTGATTTTGCCCAAAAACCGTAACGTTGCAAAGGACATGATGTTAAAATCACTGTTGAACTTAAGGGAATGCTGTCGTTTTGTCTAAATAATGCATAAGATTAAAATTGTGGGTAATTCAGGTAACGAAAACAACACGTATATCTAAAACTTGTAATATCCTTAATGCTTTTACGGTTACGATCCAGAAATATATGAATTTTTGCAGCTAATAATTCCTAGGGATCATGCGTTCCAGTAGGTTTCATATAAATAGTAATCTAAGTAATCAGGGCGGCAATTATGCGTCGGACAGTGCCGCCACGCCTGGCAGAACTTTGCCCTCTAGAAGTTCCAAACTGGCCCCGCCGCCGGTCGAGACGTGAGAAACTTTGTCCTCGGTCTTCCATTTCGCGCAGCAAGTTGCCGTGTCGCCTCCACCTGAGAAAAGAACAGTGAAAAAACGGGCTCGAAAGCTAGTGTTTTGTCATTACCGATGATGGTAGTGGCGCCTTTCGCCGTTGCCGCCACAACTTCGTCCATGATGGATTTGGTCCCCTTGGCGAACTTTTCAAACTCGAATACTCCGGCTGGGCTGTAAATAAACGTTTCGTGGCGTAAATTAGAAGGGGCGTAACGCAACGGCATGTGAAAAGTTAAAAAACGTTTCGCTTGTTCAAATTTAAAAATATACAATATGCAACAACTACTCGTAAATTTACCTCTGAATTAGAAAAAAAACATAAAACAAAAGAATTGGTTCCTTTTTTTAATGACAATGGATAGCCTCAAAAGATTTGTTGTTTTTTTGACATGAAATTAAAATGTTGTCGGAAAGATCAAATTAGATTTTTTCATGCCAAAATTTAGCACAGTAAAGAAAGACGCGTAAGAATTAGGAAAAATTCCGTAGAATTGATTGAATTACTTTACCCCTGCTGATTGTTAGGGCTTCATTTTCAAAATGGCGTCCAAAGTTCGCAGAAAAAATTTTTTAATTAAAAAAATATTTTGTCTAAAAAATTTTTTTCTAAAAGACTGTAGAACTGTTTATATAAAAAATTTTGATCCCAGCCTGATGTCAATTGATAAAAAAATGTATTAGTTATTGCAAGAAAAAGGCTAAAAATCGCATTTTTTTAAAACTTCTACATATATCCTCAAAACGAAACTTTCAGAATATGTAGTCCTTGGTAAGTAGAATAAGAGCTTTTTTGTAAAATTGAAAAATATTTGAGTTTTTGCAAAAATTGAGTTTTTCGAAAAAAATACATTTTTTTCAAGTTTCAATAAATCATACAGTAACGCACTTACGTGACCCATCGTAGGCATAAAATTTTTTCTAAGAGTTGTGCTTTCCTGTGCAAATTGTGCGCGTATTGCAAAATAATAGGAAATATGCAAAAAATCCACCGAAACTTTGACTTCCTTTTTCGGGTCGAAAAATAGATTTTTTTCTTATCGTTAAATTTAATCGGAATGGAATTATTGCCGTTTGAAAGCTGACATTTTTTCACAAATTAAAAAAAGTCCTACAACCAACAAAATCCGAAAAAAAATGTTTTTTCCAAAAAATCGCTACAACCTCATTTATTAAAATAAGTTCTGAAATTTACACATGTTGTAGTTGAACACTTTTACCTCAATATAAAACATAGTCCGGAATGATTGACTCCCCTTTTTTTATCACTCAATTTTGTTGGGCCCCATAGAATGCCTGCTCTGCTCGACACGATGCGTGTGGTGAGGGAAGAAAGACTGACGCGAATCGTCCAGAATTTTTTCACGTCGAATTTCATTTTTTTAATGTATTGCCCACAAAAAATTTCGTTACAATATCTACATTTGTTCGGAAGATATTTATATTTATTTTAAAATTATAACAAATGCACTGAACAATGTACGCATAGCGCTTCAGGGCAAAACGTTCACTTTCGACAAGGTGTTACGCCCCATATATATATATATATATATATATACAGGGTGTCTCACATTTAAATAGCAGGACTTCAGGAATCAGTAGAAGACCTCATTTTGAGTCTAAAAGTTCCTATATATATGGGTCCTAAAACGCTTCGTTTCTGAGATACAGGGCGTTCAATTTTATTTTTGTTTTATTTATTTATTTTTTAACTAAATAACCGCTGACAAAAAAAATCATCATGTTGCGGCGAAAGACTTAGTATTTGAGGGCAAATAATTTGACACAGAAAATCATCGCATATTAGTTCCAGTGGTGGAGATAGAGGGGTCTCTATGCATATTTTTATAAAAAAAAGTATAGCCGATTTGATATTTTGCAAATGTTTTCGAAAAATATGAAAGAGCATTCAATTTTACCCAGAAAAGGCCCTCTTGTCCAAAGTCGATAGGAGGTGGCGTTTTCAAGAAAAACCGAAAATACTGTTTAGAAGTCAAATTAAGAAAAACCGAAAATACTGTTTAGAAATCAAATCAGACTTGAAATGTCATTCTAATATTGACATTTGCGCTTATTTTATTATAGTTTCTAATTGTGTGTAGAGTATTAAAAAAAATTGCAACAAATTCAAAATGCCGTTTAAGTTTACGAACCAAGAATACGCAGATATTCACTTCATATACGGGTTTGCCAATGGGAACTCGGCAGAAGCTGCTAGGGAATATCGGAGACGATTTCCTAATAGAAGACAGCCGCATCCACACGTTTTTATTAATGTTCATCAACGTTTCGCTAATGACGGATTGAATCTGGTCCATAGGGATCGCAACATAATTAACGTTAATATTGGCAGAAATAGGAGGAATCAGCGAATCTTGCACGAATTTGACAGAGATCCCACGACGAGTACCAGAAAAATTTCCAGGATTATTGGTGTTTCCAGGTGCACTATTTCTAGAACATTAAGACGAGATCATAGACATCCCTACCACTTACAACCTGTTCAGGGTTTACGTCCGGGTGACGAGGAACATAGAATAGCTTTTTCTCGGTGGATTCTTAACTCAATTGAAAACGACGGAAATTTTTTATCACACATATTATGGACCGACGAGTCATGTTTTACTCGTCGAGGTGTGACAAATTTACACAATCAGCATGAGTGGGCACATGAAAACCCGCATGCAATCAAACCACGAAATTTTCAGCACGAATTTAGTGTTAATATTTGGCTCGGCGTTTATAACAATTGTCTTTTCGGCCCTTACATCTTACCTCAACGACTGAATTCTGCGAATTTCTTAGAGTTCTTAGAGACCGAGAGTGCCAACATGTGGGAGGAAATTCCTCTGAATTTAAGAATGCGAGCATGGTTTCAACTTGATGGCTGTCCAGCTCATTTTGGCCGAAATGTCAGGAACTGGTTGAACACCCACTTTCCCGAAAAATGGATTGGCCGCGGGGGTATCGTTGCATGGCCTCCCCGATCCCCTGATCTGACACCCCTAGATTTTTTCCTCTGGGGTTTTATTAAAGAGAGAGTTTATACCACTACTGTGGACACAAGGGATGAACTTATTCGTCGGATTCGGAACGCATGCAGTGAAATCAGAGACAATAACTTAATTCAAATGAGACGTTCTATTCAGCGTCGGTGTCAGTTATGTATCGAAGAAAATGGTTTACATTTCGAACATTTGCTTTGATGTAATATGGTTTTCGTTATTTATTTTTGTATTTATTTTCATTTAATTAATTAAAAACAATTTTAACCGAATTTTTGAACTACATATTTAATTTAGTTGTAACACAATGTTTAAAAATTATTATTTGACTTCTAAACAGTATTTTCGGTTTTTCTTGAAAACGCCACCTCCTATCGACTTTGGACAAGAGGGCCTTTTCTGGGTAAAATTGAATGCTCTTTCATATTTTTCGAAAACATTTGCAAAATATCAAATCGGCTATACTTTTTTTTATAAAAATATGCATAGAGACCCCTCTATCTCCACCACTGGAACTAATATGCGATGATTTTCTGTGTCAAATTATTTGCCCTTAAATACTAAGTCTTTCGCCGCAACATGATGATTTTTTTTGTCAGCGGTTATTTAGTTAAAAAATAAATAAATAAAACAAAAATAAAATTGAACGCCCTGTATCTCAGAAACAAAGCGTTTTAGGACCCATATATATAGGAACTTTTAGACTCAAAATGAGGTCTTCTACTGATTCCTGAAGTCCTGCTATTTAAATGTGAGACACCCTGTATATATACTTTGTTTCATATTAGTAATAAAATATTTACCCGTTCCATACGATAACTTTGGCTCTTCTGATCGGTTCCTTCAGTAATTCCATGGTTTGCTGGCCAATATCCAAACCCATCCAACCTTCGGGAATACCCTCTTCCACTGTGGCACAGCTAGACTAAATAAAGAGAAATATTTCACAGTTTCAATCGTATTAAGGTATCAAGGGTGTTACAGGATAATATTCCAAGGTCAGTAGTATATGTAGATAGATGTTATTATCCTGTAACACCCGTGGTGGTTTAACGTTTAATGTCCTACTTGTGTTATTTGAATTGAAATTTATATACAGTTGGTGACATTAACTAAATTACGGATCCTTACATTTGCGTCTTCTGCGAACTTATCTGCAATGACAAAGTCTACCGGCAGATGAACTTGTACGTTATTTTTCGCAGCTTTCTCCAGTAGTTTTCCCACAATTTTGGCTCCCTCCGCATCGTACAAAGACGTGCCGATCTGGAAGGAATGGAACAGCTTAATAAGAGATTAAAAAGGGGGCAATTGAGCAAAACATGTCTTGATTCAATGTTGCTTCTTTTCAATCCATCGAGTGTTAAAGTTTACACATTTCTTTGGAATTTTGACTAATGAATTTGAAAATTTCAGTAGCATTGATTTTTTGAGCGAGCATTTGAAAAAGTATTCAATCGCTAATAGGTGTCTGATATATTGGAAGGTATATTTGATGTGTTTTGATCTTTCCTGTTGGTAATTTTTTGTTGTTGCGTGTGATTTTTGTTTTTCTCTTTTATGTTGGTTCAGATTGTTTCCTTAGGTTAGACTGGGTTAGGTTAAGACAGTTTAGGTTATGTTAGGTTAGGATAAATTTGAATATTAAGGGTTTTTTGGCGAGCCAAACCACATCAAACCCGGTTAGCTCGAGTTTGATTGTGTTAAGAGTTTGAGTTAACATTTGACAGAACTCGCAAAAATTCTTTTAGTTTGGATATCTAATCAATAATAAAATTGTAACCTGTAATCTATGATAGTGCTCGTAGCTCAAGTTGTTTGATTATTTCTTATATACTACAATTGTTATTCCTAATCTGAAATGCACATCCATGAAATAACGTTAATGTATAGATGGTTATTAAATCAAAATGGGTTTACCTTTTCACAAATATCTATTCCCATGTAAATGTATCGTCTAAAAGGAAGTTAATAAAGATCTATACAGTGCAATATAGAATATGCATATCTACGATTAAAGTTATTTGGATCCTCGATTACTATTTTTTTATTATCAATTTTAAATATTACTTTGTATTTTTTGCAAAGTTAATCCATTATCAAATTTTTTTATTTACAACTTATACCTATCCAAACCTCTAAAAAAACGAAGTAGTGACTAGGTACGATGGTACGAAACAGAAAATAAATAAACAAAGATAAAAATATTAACTTAATATCCAAACCAACCCACAAGTCCGGTTTGATGGTTAGGCAAACTCTGCCAAACCGGGTTAACTACATTTCTCGCCAAAACGTCAAACCTCAACAAACCATAGCTAACCGGGTTAGCGGTTTTCTCGCCAAAAAACCCTTATTGATTAAAAATTGTGCATTACAATATATTACTTATATCTCTATAACTTTCTAATTTTTCTTCAACCATCCTCAGTTTTTCTGTCTATATTACTTCTTTAATAAGATACAATTGTTTCTCTTTTGGAAAATTTTCTGTTTTAAATTGCCTTAAACTGTTACACACATTCTATGTCCATTGGTAGAACAACTAATTCAACAATAAAATAACTGTTTTTAGAATAATGATTTTCAGTTTCTCTTATTCTTAAATTAACATCTTATTTCCAAAATTATACATGGTGGTTCGAATTTTATGCAGGAAACTTCTAGGGCAGATAGATCTCTTTAAATTAATGTGTTTGCCTTATATACATTGGTCTGAAACAGCCCCATTTTAGAGATACGGGATGTTGAAGTTGTTAAAAAAAATAGATTTTTATATCTTTTATATCTCCGGAATCTATTAAACAGTCTCAATAAAATTTGGTATAGATAATGTATAATAGTAGGCCTTACATTCCCTAAAATATGAGCTTTAAAGGTTCAACCAGTGGTGTACACCTTTTTTACAAAAAAACCTACACCACTGCATTTTTTGACAAGTCATTGTAACTGATTTATATTCTAATGCACAAAATACATAAAAAAGATGAAATTTTTTCCCTAAGTTTCGCCGTGTGTAAGTGCAATTGGTAAGCACATCAACAAAATTATTTACACCTTTCTACACCACCTGTGAGGTAGTGTTTCTGGCATGTTTTAGTTTTCCCTGGAGGCCTAATACTCTTTAAAATAAGAACAATTTAAATCGAAGTAATAATAAAAATATATTTACCAAGCAATAGCAACTAAACAAGTAACAAAATTAACGTTACGTATTTACAACAATTGTTCAAAATGCGAACCACCCACATCGATACATTTCTGCCATCTTCTAAATGGAATTAATTGAAGCTAATATCATTTGGTGGTTTTCTTTTAATTCATTGCACCCGTCTTCTATTTGTTGCAGTAGTTGTGGTCTTGTATCTGTTGGAGTAGAATAAACTTTACTTTTCAGATAACCCCAAACATAGAAGTCCAGGGGGTTTAGATATGGCAATCTAGCTGGCTAAAACACTGGACCCTCTGCACCATTATGGTTGACATTGGCATTTGGTCTTCTATCCATCGCCGCATATAATTTTCAATAAGCCATTCTTATATTATTCTCCCAGAATGCACAGGAGCACCAAACTATTTTGTCGTATATTTAATGGAACGTCCTCTAATAATTCAAATAGATGGTTTCCTAGAAGGTTTAGAAATGACTGGGAATTTACACGGAGTGGCAAGAAGAAACATCCACAAACTTTACTTTGAATTATTCCGAGTCACATGTTCACAGAAAATTCGTGTTGAAAAGATCTTGTCAGAATTTCGTGAGGATTTTCTTGTGACCAAATATGCAGATTGTGCAAATTCATTACCCCTCCTCACCTTTGGTAAATGTATATTTACTATTATTTTGATTTAAGTTGTTCTTATTTGTAAAGATAATGGGTTATGCTTCCACGGGAAACTAAAACGGGTAAGGAAGTCTACCTCACAGGTGGTAGTGGAAGGTGGAAACAAGTGTAAAGAATTTTGTTGATGTGCTTACAAATTCCACTTACTTTTAAGCATAAACATAAATATTACTGTAATATTATGGTTAGAAATGTCTGCACAAGGAGATTTTATTGGAATGAATAACTTGAAAACGGCGAATCTTAGGGAAAAAATACAAGTTACCTTTTTTATGTATTTTGTGCATTAGAATATAAATCCGTTACAATAACTTGTAAAAAATGCAGTGGCGTAGGTTTTTTTATAAAAAAGGAGATGACCCCTGCCCAGTTGTACACCACTGGTTGTACCTTTAGAGCTCTTATTTTAGGGAATGCAAGGCCTACTATCATAGATTATCTGGACCAAATTTTATTGAAATCAATTAATAGATTCCTGAGATATAAACAAAATAATTTTTTTTAACAACTTCAACACCCTGTATCTCTAAAACAGGGCTGTTCCAGACTAATGTTTATAAGGCAAACACATATTATTTTAAAGAGATCTATCTGCCCTTGAAGTTTCCTGCATAAAATTCGGACCACCCTGTATAACGTCTATGAAAAAAAATCACTTTTATCTTGAGAAATTATATTTTGTTGTTTTCGGATGCTTTAGAAAACACAAATTTTTTTCCAATTCAACATTATCTTGAAAATGGTGCGTTTCCATCATATCTATATAGGACTTTTTTTAATTCAAATTTTAAGTTTTTCATTTCCAAAATTAAATCTAAAACAGTACCAGGTATTTGGATTTTGCAACAACGCTTATTATCTAGATAGCCCGAACAAAAATGACACATCACAAGTCATCTTTTTGTGTCATATTCATTTAAAAAGATATATTGTCAGAAAGTGATTTTAATATAATGCACCAACATTTTCATACAAAATCAAGAGTAGAAAATTAAACTAAACAATGGAATAAAGTATACTAATTTTGTATAACTGAACAACCAAAAAAACTTTCAAGAAAATGACTGACGCGATCGCACCTCAAGACATATTTAGCTGTAACTCATTCAATGTGACCACCGTCTCCAGTTCCACACACAAGTACCTGAATTACAGCAGAAAGATGCAACTCCAGCTGGCGGAACTAAACAATAATGTAAGTGGTGTGATAAGAGAGAGCTGTTCCGGGATCGACAACATATGTAACAGGGTTAGGCAGTGTCTCAACGAGATGGACCAAAGGTAACACCTCGGTAAAAGTTCTGGTAGTTACATAGAAGAATGGCACGGCAAATTTTTAGCGCTGTGCTGGTATAATGTCAACTAGTATACTCAGAAGAAAAACACTTATATTGTTTTATGTAAATCTACAAATTAACGCCATTCTTTTATATAACCACCCAAGTTCTAAGTCATAGAAATTATGCACATTTCAGACATAAAACATATTTAACGGACGAAGTAACAGAATACATCGAGGAGGAAAAACCAAAAAGTGTCGAGGAAATTTCCGAAGTTTATGAAACCGTAGAGGATATATCGACGATAGAAATCATAGAAGAAAAATTTGAGACGGAAGAAAGTTCGCAAAATGTTACATCCCTCACTCCTTTCTTCACCGAAATAAACTACAACAATCAAGAACCGGAGAGCAGAAAATCATGCCAGAAAAAGGTGCTGAATAAAACGATCTACTCGCTACTAAACAGCGAGGAGTCCATGGAACTCCATGACGATAACAGCAAGATTAGTATAGATAATTTCAAAGAAACCATTATTTCGCTGTGCGACAATTTCGAAATCATGAACAAACTTGTGGAGAATATAAATAAAGAAATAACGATGTTTTCAGAAACAGCTATACCTACTGTTAAAAAGAGTCTAGAGAAAATCGAGAGTAACGAAGTAAGCGAAAGCACAACAGGACTGAAACCTATAAAACGTATGTCGAAGATCAATTCCAGACAGAAATGCATTCAAGTCGGAGACAGTGTATCTGAAACAAAAGTGGACTTGGTACAACTAAACCACTCCACATCCTTTATTATCCCAGACGTTTACCGCAAAAAGGCCTTTACGGATCTCTATCAAAAATTGATCGCGCAAGTAGAGGCAAACGACAGTTTAATATTTTTCCAGACCCTGATGAACCGACAAAAGAAGGTAGAGAAAAACAAAGGCGACATATCCCAATTTAAATTGAACATCCCCATCGTGACCTACTCTGTCCCTAAGAAATCTGGCGAATCTGTTGAGGAATCGAACTGCTCGATTAAAATCCAACCAACTAAAAAAAATACGGATTTAAATAAAAAATACGCCGACAGCTTGTGGTTTTCTCCGAAAAATATAGTAAGAGATAGTTCAAGGTCAAGTTCCAGA